TATAAAATCAAGTCATGATAGCAAAGACGTAAATAAAAATAATATTGCGATTTGTCTATATGTATCTAAGGAAGAAAACAAAAATGAATGGATCATAGATAGCGGATGCACTTCACATATGTCTTATGAAAGAAATATATTTCAAAATTTAGAAAACACTTGCAAAACGTTAAAATTAGCGTCTAACGATGGTGCTGCTGAAATAAAAGGACAAGGTTTAGTATGTTTACAGTTAAATAAACCTGGAAAGAAAGGAGAAATTAAATTATGTGACACATTATATGTACCAGATTTGTCACTGAATCTGTTATCTGTTGGCAAGATTACCGAAAATGGGTGTACTGTACTCTTTACAAAAAATAAGGCAGTAGTTACTCACAAAGATGAAGGTGTGATTTTGAAAGCACATAGAAAAGCCGATGGTTTATACTATGTTGATGCCAAACTAAATAAATCTCAAACATGTTATTACACAGATCAAAGCAAAATTCATCACTGGCACAGGAAACTTGGTCATGTGAATGAAAATGACATGAAGTTTGCTTTAAGAAATAAAAGCCTAAAAGGTTTAGAATTTGGTTTAAACGAGAAACTTGGAGATTGTGAAATCTGTATTGAAGCCAAAATAAAAAGACTACCATCTAAAGCTAATACTATTCCTCGTACTACACAACGATTAGAAATCATACATACTGACGTTTGTGGACCGATGAAGTCTGAAACTTATGCAGGTAACAAATACTTTGTTACTTTCATCGATGATCTTACTCGGTATAGTCGTGTATATTGTATCAAAAAGAAAAGTGAAGTATTAGACAAATTTATGGAATTTAAATCTGAGATGGAAAATTATACTGGCAATAAAATAAAATGTCTTCAGTCAGACAATGGCTTAGAGTACTGTAATAATGAATTTGAAATGTTTTTAAAGAAAAATGGTATAACAAGACGATTAACAGCTCCATACACTCCTCACCAAAATGGTATAGCTGAAAGAAAGAATAAAACCCTTTTAGAAAAAGCTAGATGTTTAATGATAGAATCTGGGGCACCGATGACTCTATGGGGTGAAGCTATATGTACAGCAAACTACATTTCGAATAGAAGTATAAATAAAAGTATTGACAACTTGACACCGTTTGAAAAATGGGTCGGAAGAAAACCGTCTTTAAATCATTTTAATGTATTCGGAATAAAAGCGTACATGCTTCTCAAAAATAAACAAAACAGAAACAAATTTGAAACAAAAGCCATTCCTGGCATGTTTGCAGGATATTCTGAACGATCAAAAGCTTTTAAAATTTGGGTACCTACAAAAGGTAAAATTATGATTTCAAAAGATGTGAAATTTGTTGATAAATTTTTCTATAAAGAAAACTTTAATTCAAATAAATCAGCAAATAAATCAAGTACAACTGGTTATGTAGATCTGCTCTTTGATAATATTGAAAAACTAGAAGAGAGAGATAAAAAACAAACTATAATAAATGAAGAGAACATTGACCCAAATGACACTGAAAGCGAATATGAATCGATTAACAATGATTTTGAGACAGATGATGAAGAAAATATCGAGTTGGTAGAAGAAACAAGACCTTCGGAAAGCCAAGCTGAAACAAATGACGAAGAGACACATGAAGAAGTTCAAACAGAAGTTAAACGGTCACTTCGAAATCGTAATTATTTACGAGCGCCTACAAGATTTGACGACTTTGTGATGACTGCTTCAGAAGAGGTAATGAACTCACAAAAAGAACCTGAAACGTACAATGAAGCAATGAAAAGTAAAGGTAAAAAGAAATGGCTTGAAGCGATGCTGAGTGAAATGACTTCTCTAGAAGAGAATCAAACCTGGGATCTCGTGGAGCTACCTAAAGGTAGGAAAGCTCTTTCTAGTAAATGGATTTATAAAATAAAAACGAATCCTGATGGAAGTATTGATCGATATAAAGCTAGGTTAGTTGTAAAAGGTTTTTCACAAAAACCTGGTGTGGATTATGATAAGACATTCAGCCCAGTTGTCCGCTTGAGTACAATTAGAGCAATGCTAGGAGTAGCTGCAAAAGAAAATTTATCTCTTTGTCAATTCGACGTATCCACAGCATTCCTCAATGGATCAGTTGAAGAAAAAATATTTATAAAACAACCTGAAGGTTATAACGATGGTACAAATAGGGTCTGCCGTTTAAAAAGAAGCCTATATGGACTTAAACAGGCTCCACGTTGCTGGAATACTTGTATACATGAGTTTTTAATAAATTCTAAATTCATACAAAGCCAGTCTGATCCTTGTTTATACATCAGAAAGAATGGCCTGTCTAAAGTGATTATTGGATTATATGTTGATGATGGATTGGTAGCGTCAACATCAGAGAAAGAAGGAAAGAAATTTCTTGAAGAGTTACAAAAACGCTTTAAGATTACGACAAAGCCTGCAAGTTACTTTCTAGGACTCGAACTAGAAAGATCTAATGATGGATATATAACATTAAGTCAGAAAGCCTATACAAAGAAATTACTAGAAAAATTTCGCATGTCTGACTGCAAACCGGCTTTAACACCAATAATAAAAGAAAACAGTCAAGATACGTCTCTAGATGAAAGCGAATTTCCTTATCGCCAGGCAGTTGGAGCACTGTCATATTTAATGGTAGGGACAAGACCAGATATCAGTTATGCAGTGAGTGTTGCCTCCAGAAATTTAGAAAAACCAACGAAACGGAATGTTATTGGAGTAAAAAGAATACTTCGCTACCTGAAAGGATCAGTAGATAAGGGGCTAATATTTAAGACTGATATCACAGGAAATTTAAATTGTTACAGTGATGCAGATTTCTCTGGTGATCAAGAAACTTGTCACTCTACCACAGGAATAATATGCCTTTACTCAGGCGCTATAAGTTGGAAAAGTCAAAAACAAGGAATAGTAGCCTTATCTTCGACAGAGGCTGAACTTATAGCTGCTAGTGAAGCAACACAGGAAATTATTTGGCTAAAAGAATTACTATCTGAATTAACGGAGCTAGACAAGCAACCAGTTCTATATGTGGACAATGAATCTGCAATAAAATTAGCTCACAACCCTGCATATGAATATCATAAAAGGACAAAGCATATCAAGCGCAAGCATTTTTATGTCAGGGAATGTGTAAAGGACGGGCATCTATTAGTGAAGCATGTTTCATCGGAACATCAATTAGCCGATATGTTCACGAAGCCACTCTACAGACCAAGATTAGAAGAACTGTCCTCACGCATTGGAATGAGTAGCAGCAACTATAAAAAGTAGACGGGATGTTAGGAGTATGAGTTGTAGATATACGACCCAATTATTTGTGTCTATCGATGACAATGTTCGTTGCTAAGCATCTTGTTGAATTGTAACATTTTATTCTGCTTATTATACGTATTTTAATATTTAATATCGCTTTCCGTTCTCCACTTTAATAATTTTCTTGTAATCAATTTTTTATAATCAATTTTCATAGTAATATTAACCGATTTTTAATGAACCAATTATATAAATTACGCATTTTAATCGATTTTCATATACATCGTTATCTATGCGATGGATGAAAAAAATTTTGAAGTAAGTTTCAATTTTATAAACGACGCTAGAATGTTAAGTAAACAACCATTATTCAAGCAACTTTTATTTGTTTTAGGCAATTATTACAAAAAATAAATACTTCCAGTTTGCATTGAAAACCTTAAATGACTGACTTACAAAGACTGACTGACATAGACAAAGTTATCATAGATTAACTATGTACTAAACCCATTACATCCCCCTCACTTTACAAGAAATTTTAATTAGCTATTTAAATATCTATTACATAATCTTGAAAATAGACTGGTTTCTTTATAGACCTACCAGACCTGGTATACAACCCATGATTGTTTTCGCCGATTCTACTTTCCAACCGTTCCCGAGGATGATTCTCAGGACTCTGTGTATAGTACAGGAATCATCAACATTAATATAAGAATTTTACCTCATAAACTTTGTCTGTATTGTCTATCAGTCACCACTCTATCCTCAAACTCACTAATATTATTATCTATAGGAACATTTTGCAAATTTTCCTGACTTCTGCTCTTAATGAAGTATCTTCTATTTCTTTCTAATATTTATCCTTTATCTGTAAGTATTTTATAAGAATTAGGTAATTATATCTCTTGACATTACCTGTGCATTAGGTTTCTTATTATTTTTATATAATAATACAACTTTTTGTCCTATTTCCAAATCATTTAAGCTTCTTCAATTTCTATCATAATAACTCTTCTATTTATGTGCATTAACATACAATGATTTTTGTATTCTTAAATTTTCAATATTAGGTTTACAAATCAGTGGAAGTAATCCTTAAATTTTCCTACCTATTCACAATTTACATGGACTTTTATAATTTAACTCTTTAGATATGGGTATATTTCTATACTCTAATAGTACTAAGTATTTATCTTTACCTTCACTATCAGCTTTCCTAAACAAATTTTTAACTATTTGTTCTACTACTTTTCGATTCGTCGATCGATTAATATTAAATAAAAAAAAATTGAGTTTTATTTCATCGATTCTATTCCATTATTTTCATCCCTAACTGGTGCCCCGGCAGCGTATATCGATACCGCAGGCGCGATTACTATTCTATTATCACCCATTAAAAACAAAATAGTCAGATGGAGTTAGATGGCTAAACTAAAAAAGCTACCACTAAAAATTTATCCAATACGAACAAACAATTAAATCTTTTCTCTTTGCATTATTACTATAGAAAAGGAAACCAGCACATTGCAACAATTGAGGTCGGTTTTGTAATTACTATAATGTGTTACTTTTGACTATCAGATATTGGCAACACTGCTGGATTGGTCTTTATTACAGAATCTAAATCTAAACCTAAAACAATTTAAACATACGACATAGGCAGCATGGTCTCCGACCTTAGCCTGTTCCACAACGGAACAAACGTACTTAAAAAAAAATTAAACACAGACATATCGGTGGGAGTGAGGGGGGGGGGGTGTTCTAAATTTACAAAGCTTTGTTTATCTTGTTATGAATGAGAAAATAAGTCTTTAAAAAATATAAATATCTATTTTATCCAAAAAAGTAACTTACCTAGCCATGAACAGAAAAAGAAATGTAAGTTACATAAAGCCAGAGGATCCAGAATTTTTAAAAGTGTTAAAAAGACAAGCTGGTTATGATGACAGAAATCATAAATTTGATAAACTTGAAAATACTGAAGAGGACTTTGTGGATGATACGGATAATGAAAAGCCTCAGGTAGTGGTATTGAAAGAAGGTGATCTTACGGCTGAGGAGGCTGATCTAGAAAAAAAGAGAATAGATAAAATTGTATCTGAAACTAAAGCCAATTTGAACGAAAGAGTAATATTTAAAAGAAAACTAACGTCGAATTCAACGAACCCATCAAAAGCATCTAAAAGTACACCAAAAGAATCAAAAAAGAAAAAATATAACAAACGTCAGTTATTATCATTTGGAGACGATGATGGTGATGACGTTGGTAGCAGTGAATAATAAAGTTTTTAAGCGTACAAATGAATGATTCTCATTCTCTATTTAGGTAGTCTTTAAGTTTTAAGAAATGTGGTATTAAAATAATGTGACCTAATGGATATAAATTCTTTTGTATAGTTTTTTGTACTAATATAAAAAGTATAGTTTGTTGTTTGTTTAATGGATAAATTAAAAAGATACTTAACGGATTTTAGAAAAAATTCACTTGTAGAAAGGTATAATATCATCAAGTTACAGGCTCTATATTATTATTGAAAATGCTATTTACTTCTGTAAAATCAGGGCAAAATGGTAGAATACAAATGCCCTTCATTTTGTTAAAACAGGTAAAATTGTGTAAGTTCTGATATATATATATATAATAAAAGATTTAAATTCTTCCATTTAAAACTTTATTATTTAATGTTTATATGGAAAAATATTTCTTCATGTCAAAACATAACCCCTCTTAAGGGTACCAACTGATCCTCTTTTCAGGATTTCTCTTTACATAGATTCATATTATTACATAATCTGTCTATAGAGTAATACAATTTTTTTTGTACTTAACTATTTACCATTATCTTGTCATTAAAACTTGGAGAAGTTTCAGATTTAAGAAACAGTCATATTGAATGAGTAAACTAAAAAAATGAAGTGAAAAAATTTAAACATTCTGTATTTGCTTCATAAATAATTTACAAATTATGTTATCCATTCATTTCAAATATCTTATTTTATTTGTGAAGATGCTGTTTGTTGCTCTTATGTAAAAACTACTGAATGGATTTGAATAAAATTTGGGACATGGATAAGTAATATTCTACCTGAACACTGGACATTTTATATACTGATTCATGTAGGTGAAGCCATGAAATACAGCTAGTATTATAGATTTGAAAGTGAATTTGTTACTTCTTCATATCAAATCATAATAGATGTAACACAATATGACTACATTATAGATCCTATAAAGTACCTCTATAAAAGGCCGGCAGCACACCTGCAATGCTGTTGTGGGTGACTATGGGCAGCGGTAGTTACTTACAATCAGGTGAGCCGCATGCTCATTTGCCCCGTGTTGTAAAAAAAAAAACCTCTATAACAACCAGCGCAATATATTTACATTACTGGTAGAGAGTAAACTTTGCTATGTATGATAAGTCTTGTTATTAGATTCAATTGATATGACAGTGATCTCCTGTACTCGTGATTAATCTTCAGTTTTCAAAGACTGCTTCAGCAATAACATAATTGTGAGACAAACATTAAGATGTCAATATATTTTTTCCACCATCCTCAATGCTCCTTCTTTTCTTTATTTTTCCTCTAGAACCATTTAATGCTGAAATAGACTCATGGCGATGATGTTGATAATCTGTTTCATTTTCATACTCCAATAATTTGCGAAGCAGAAATTTCCTTTCGTCTTTTACAATAAGAATGCTCTCCTGGATTTTTGCTACTTCATCGCATAAAGCTGCATTTTCCTTTTGATAATAATAACGTTATAAATTAATTATTAGTAATTAAAGACTATAATGGCACTATAAGCAACTAATACAAGCATGTAAAAAAGATTACTCCATTAATACACATGAAGATGATAAAATGCAAATTATACAGACATTTGGATTCATGAGTAAGTCTATAGCAGTCTAGGTATTTAATAGCTACAATATGTGTATATTTTATTTTAATATTATATATTTCACTGAACTAGATGTTATGAAAGTCCATGTCACTGGTTATTTGATCAGAAGTATTTTGTTCAATTTCACTACCATTAATTTGTGTGTGGCTAGGTTCAGAGCAGCAATTTAATAATTTGCATGAAGATGCCACATTTGGCCAGTGGTTTTTTTAATGGGCTATGATGGAATGGTAACAACACTTGCACTATCAATATATACTGGCAGGGTACCAGTGTGTTATGATAAGTGAAGACAGAAAAACAAGTCAGTGAGGCCATCATGATGAAAAACACCTAGCCCTCTAGTCAAGTGACAAGTTAACCCATTAATGAATTCACATTGCTGACGAGTTTGTAGGTTGGAATGAAACATCCAATGTTGCTCTCATTCTATCTCGCAGACCCACCAGAGATATTGATTCCATCAACAAACTCGCCTACCACTTGTCCTGAGGGCCTGATTTTCAGCATGATGATTTCCAGGGGGGACCATATGGAGGTCGACCTGGATGAGTATATTGCTATCAATGGAGCCCTTAGTTCCCATTATTAATAATCCTTCCCCAACTTGGCCAGTGAGATGGCAACCATTGTTAGGCTTTGATGTTTTAAGAGGGATGCTGTCGCCCAACCCTCAATCAATAAATTGCCTAAATCGTCTCTTACGACACCAATGGGAAAGGAAATTTGCCTACAATGGTTACAATTATGTGTGCTCCATTTGAGTGACAAGAGCGCGGCTATTAAATAGGATAGATAGGTTAAATTAATTCCTCATTTTGCTGCATGAGCAGCAGTGATTGCATATCATGCTTCGGTCTAAAGGAAGGAAAATTATGGACTAAAAATGCATAAGTGATACTCTGCATTCTGTAATGTCCATAGTCTTCATGTGAAGAGATAACAATTATCATATTCCATCAAATGGAACTCGACATGTCATTCCCAGTTGTATAAAAATAGAATTTATAACTATTCAAGTATTTAACATACCAATAACAAGCCTTTTATTCTTCGTTTTAAATATTTAAATTTTTTTCTATATCTTTTGCTTTGCTTCTCATTTTTATTTAGATTCATAATCAAAATACCTATTAAATTTTAAGTTTTCAAACAAAACAATATTTAGATTTCACGACAGATTCGTTTTGCAGGGACATCAAAATAAAAACCAAAGCTGTTTGACACGACAGACTAGAATAAGTATAGGGTATAGATTTTGACATATAATAGACAGAACGCAAAAATCCCTATAGTACGTTGTTTCTGTGTTAGAAAGTGATAAATATATAAAAAAACTCATCCGCCTTATGAACACTTTTTAGACAGAAATACTTTATCTTAAGGTTACCGAACAATTGACAATGATTTTTATATGTAAAAAAAAAAAGTATACCGTACACAGATAAAATTATGATTGCAAAGCATTAATATTATAACTGTAAGTGTAAAAATGTTTAGGTAATATTAATAGAACTAATTTAAACTAATATTAATAATAATTTTAATTTCTAAATTGCTTTACTATGGTTTGCTTTTATAATAATAAACATCTCAAAAATGGAAATTGTCAGCCAATATCGTGCAATTTTTGGTTTCATACAATTATTTAATTATTCGCCGTTGTAAGAAATCAATTTCAAAAGGAGATTATGAAACATTTATAAACAACTAGTTAGAAAAAAAAACATTAATAATAATAAAGCATCCATACATGCAAGCACAGCCACTTGAATCGATTCAGAAGCGTCATTTCTTTATTCTATTTAAAAAATTCAAATTTGAATTTGATTGCACAAAAAAGTCTTTATTCTATCGACCAGTACGAATTAATTTTTGAAAGATTTAAATCATAATTATTATAAATTTAGTTTATGATGGTTTATAAAACAGTAATTTTGCGAAAATACTAAATTAAAATACTGGGTTAAGAGATAGATTTAGAAAAATTTCGCTTCAGAATCGGTAACAGCATATTCCTTTAAACTTTCCTTATCTTAAATTTCATTTAAAAGTTTTAAAATATTACAAAATAGTATATTTATATATATTTAAAATTTCAAAATATTAAATACTAGAAAATCATAGTTGTACTAATAATTAATACCTATTTTGGGTTACAGGACATAGACAATATATGACATGTATGTAAGCTTTTTCAAGCTTCACGAAAACAACGGACTAGAACTAGTGTGTATGGAAGTGCGTTAGATTGATTGCGCCGCAAGTAATTTTCTGTGGTAAGATTTAATGCCTTATTTTCATGTAAAACTACACTATAAATAGTAAAAATTGAATGAATTTATTATATTTGTTCTATTGTAGACACAATGTCGTTCCGAAAACGGCGGTGACGATCATACGGGGTGTGTGCTCTATATTTGCCTTTCCCACAAAAATCTAAGCGAATATTTAATTCTAATGTAGTCTTTGGACATTATATTATCTATATGGTTGTTAATATATTTAAAAACACATTGAAATAACAGAACAATCAACTTGATTTCAACTACATATATGTTGTATAGGTTAAGCTGAAAGTACTTAGTTAATTTTTGTATTTGTTGTTTTCAGTGTCGTATAAGGTGAGGAATGAATGAGGATAAATCAATTTAAGTGGTCAAAAAGGGAACAAATTTTATTTAAGTTGCATCAAATTCAGAATGGCTAGTTTAGAGCAACAAGCATCTAAACTTTTGGATTTTAACCAAAAATTAGACATCAATTTACTTGATAATATTGTTGGATGCTTGTATTCAACTGTCGGAGAGCAACAACGCATTGCCCAGGATATATTGACTGCTCTTAAAGAACATCCTGATGCTTGGACTCGTGTTGATACAATATTGGAATATTCTCAAAATCAGGAAACTAAATATTATGCTCTACAAATATTAGAGCAAGTTATACAGACTAGATGGAAAGTTTTACCACGAAATCAATGTGAAGGGATAAAAAAATACATTGTGGGTCTAATTATTAAAAATTCATCCGATCCTGTTGTTATGGAAAATAACAAAGTATATTTGAAAAAACTCAACATGATATTGATCCAGGTGTTAAAAAGAGAATGGCCCCACAATTGGGAAACTTTCATTAGTGATATAGTGGGTGCTTCTAAGACAAATGAGAGTCTTTGTCAAAATAACATGGTAATTTTAAAACTCTTAAGTGAGGAAGTATTTGTGTTTAGTACTGGACAACTCACACAGACCAAAGCAAAACATCTCAAGGATACTATGTGCACAGAATTCAGTCAAATTTTTCAATTGTGTCAATTTGTGCTTGAAAACTCCCAAAATGCTCCATTAGTTGATGCAACACTCCATACATTACTACGATTTTTGAATTGGATTCCACTTGGATATATATTTGAAATGAAATTGATAAGTACTCTAATTTTTAAATTCCTGAATGTGCCTATGTTTCGTAATGTAACTTTGAGTTGTTTGACAGAGATTGCTGGAGTTATTGTCAGCAATTATGAGGAACAATTTGTGGCATTACTGGTGCAAACAATGGAACAACTGGAGGTGATGCTCCCACTCACTACCAATATTCGTGAAGCTTATGCAACTGGTCGACATCAGGAACAAGTATTTATACAAAATTTAGCTTTGTTTCTGTGTACATACTTAAAAGAACATGGGGAGCTTATTGAAAGAAGGGGTCTCACAAATACTTTGATGAATGCTCTTCGCTATCTGGTTCTGATATCAGAAGTAGAAGAAGTGGAAATATTTAAAATTTGCTTGGAATACTGGAATGCATTAGCTACTGATTTATATAAAATGTCACCATGCTCACATTCCTCCAGTTTGTACAGCCTGGGTAAGAGTGTAGGGAGAAAGGCTTTGTATGCTGAAGTCCTTAGTAGTGTGCGGTATATAATGATATCCAGAATGGCCAAACCAGAGGAAGTATTGGTAGTTGAAAATGAAAATGGTGAAGTTGTGCGGGAATTCATGAAAGATACTGATTCAATAAATCTGTATAAGAACATGAGGGAAACATTAGTTTACTTAACACATTTGGATTATCAAGACACAGAGCGCATCATGACTGAAAAATTACAGAATCAAGTTAATGGTACTGAGTGGTCATGGAAAAATCTTAATACACTATGTTGGGCTATTGGTTCCATTTCTGGAGCTATGATGGAAGAAGATGAAAAACGATTTCTGGTTGTTGTTATAAAAGAGCTATTAGGATTATGTGAACAGAAAAAGGGTAAAGACAACAAAGCCATTATTGCTAGCAACATTATGTATGTGGTTGGTCAATATCCTCGTTTCCTACGTGCTCACTGGAAGTTTTTGAAAACTGTTGTGAATAAACTTTTTGAATTCATGCATGAGACTCATGATGGTGTACAAGATATGGCTTGTGACACATTCATAAAAATTGCTCTTAAGTGTCGTCGTCACTTTGTCACTACCCAAGTCGGAGAAGCTTGTCCTTTTATTGAAGAAATTTTAAGCACAATCAGCACTATTATTTGTGACTTACAGACCCTCCAAGTACATACTTTCTATGAGGCTGTGGGGTACATGATTAGTGCACAAATTGATCAAGTTGCTCAAGAGCAGCTAATTGAAAAGTATATGCTTCTTCCCAATCAAGTATGGGATGATATTATATCACAAGCCTCACATAATGTTGATATACTTAAAGATACAGAAGCTGTCAAACAACTTGTTAGTATTCTTAAGACCAATGTCCGTGCTTGTCGTGCTTTAGGACACCCATATGTTGTGCAGCTGGGTAGAATATATTTGGATATGTTAAATGTATACAAGGTAATGTCTGAGAATATTAGTCAGGCTATAGCATTGAATGGTGTTGTTGTCACTAAACAACCACTCATAAAAAACATGAGAATAATTAAGAAAGAAACACTGAAATTGATAGCTAGTTGGGTGTCACGATCTACTGACAACAGTATGGTTCTCGAAAATTTTATTCCACCACTGCTTGATGCTGTTCTCTTGGATTATCAACGAACTACAGTACCAGATGCACGAGAGCCTGAAGTTTTGTCCTGTATGGCTGCAATTGTCTATAAACTTGGTGGACATATAACATCAGAAGTTCCAAAAATATTTGATGCTGTATTTGAATGTACTCTTGAGATGATCAATAAAGATTTTGAAGAGTATCCGGAACACAGAACAGAGTTCTTTTTGCTTTTGCAAGCAGTTAATACACATTGTTTCAAGGCATTCCTAAGTATACCACCAGCACAATTTAAGCTGGTTTTGGATTCTATTATTTGGGCATTTAAGCACACAATGAGAAATGTAGCAGATACTGGCCTTCAAATATTATATCGATTACTACAAAATGTAGAACAACATCCTCAGGCAGCACAAAGTTTCTACCAGACATATTTATGTGATATCTTGGAACATGTCTTCAGTGTAGTGACTGACACTTCCCATGGTGCGGGTCTCACCATGCACGCTACAATATTAGCGTACATTTTCTCTTTGGTGGAGGCAGGCCGTGTCACAGTGGCGCTTGGTCCTACACCCGATAATGTCCTATATATACAGGTATGGTATTAATAAAAATAATTAAGTTTTTGGTTTTAGGGAAATTACTATAATTCTCTGAAGCTGAAGTGTAGGGAAAAGGTTTCCAATCAAGTTGGCCATAAATTCTATTTGAAGACTAGGTTTTGCAGGCAACTTTGTATTGCTGGATTTTGACAATAGTTAATTACGTTTACATGAGTTATGAAGATAAAATATACACAAGTTGCTGTAACTTAACTCCATTAAAGTGCTTTTGGTGGTAAGCTTGATAAATACAAAGTTGTTTGCATAGCAGCAAAGAATAATTATTTAGTGTGGTGTTGTGTGAACAATATTTTAATTTAGTATCATAATAGAACAAATATTGGAGAATTGCAGTGGTTTCCCTTAAAACTTGAGAAATCATTATATTTATATATTAATTAGTTATTGAGTCTGTTGTAATTAGGGGTATGTGATATCATATATAGTTTCAATATTTGTCCAATAATGTATATATTAAATGTTAGTTACATCGAAATTGATGTAGATGTTTGATGGATATAGGTTTTTGAAATGGGCTTTCACTCTTTTTCAGAATAATCCGATATATAGATATTGGAGTGGTATTGATATTACCCATGCTTAGTAATAGTGTAATGTGCTTATATCAGGGTACTATGTGTGTTGACAGGTTCATGTAATTAAAAAAAAATTAATTTAAACATAAGGGCGTAGCTTATACGATATTTTTAGCATCAGCAATTAACCATTTTACTACTGCAAGTATGCTCTATTACCTATTATCTATCTATTGTATAATTATGTTACTACGCAAATTTTCATTATGCTGCATGAGCTAACGCGCACGTGACACACCTAGTGTTGTAGGCGTCCACAGGCTACAATGATCGTTTTCCATCAGACGGGTTGTATGCTTGTTTGCCACCTTTATGATATAAAAAAATCTATTAGAGAATTGAAGTGTACTGGTGAGTCTTGCTCGCCATAACTGAAAATAGAGGCTTAGAAAAAAAAGAATATGTAGTATTATGACTTTATATGAGGAATATATGTTGAGCCACCCAACATATATTCCTTCTATCAGCAACTAAATCGCCGATAGCCGACGATAAAAGGGCAGGCTTCAAGTGCAGACTGCACATTGGAGTTATGTCCTATGATATATTTGATAATTATTTATTTACATTACATTATCTTTCTGTATTTTCTTTTCAGGAATATGTGGCAAATCTTCTTAAAACAGCATTCCCTCATTTAACAGACAACCAAATAAAAATTACTGTACAAGGGTTGTTTAATTTGGACCAAGATATTCCTGCTTTTAAAGATCATCTGAGAGATTTCTTAGTACAGATAAGGGTATGTAATTTTAAAATTTCTTTTGAATGTTATTTTTGCTTTATATATACACTGCCGATCAAAAGTTTAAGACCACTATAAACAATATAAGAAAACAAATAAAAGCCAACATATTTAAAACTTTATGAAAAACAGGTTTTATTTTCATGATACACACAAGATTTGAAATTCAAAAATTACATGAAATCTTGACGAATCCAATGTTCTAAAGAGGTTGAGAGAGATTTTTCATCAAAATATCCTCCTTTGTATTTTATGATCCGTTTTACCAATCTTGGCATACTAGCAATTAATTTGTTTAAAGTCTCTTGCGAGATATTTCTCCAGCTTTCTTCTAATGCATTCCACATGGCCTGCTGTAAAGTAGGACATTGTTCTCGCACATTTCAGTCAAGCTCTACCCACAAAAGTTCTATAGGGTTAAGATCGGGGCTTTGGGGTGGCCATGTATGTTTTTTAACGTTTTCTGACTGTTTTTTGTCTAAATAGTTCCTACAAAACAACTGTGTTCTGAAGCTTTGTGATAAATCTCTATGTGATAAATCTTTGGCCGATTAACTCTAGTCCGGAGGGGATAGCTTTTTTCTTCAAAATTACTTTATAATGTTCCATTAAATAAAAAATAAACACATTTTTCACGCAATTGCCCGAAAAATGTGCAATGGTACTTTCTTAATTATGTTGTACTAGTTTTTGTAAATTATCTATACTTGTTAATGCGAATTATCGCCGGTATTTTTTTTCTAATATCTTCATGCAAATTTATTTTACACCAAATAATACACAAATTCGATAAAAAATTGTGTGGAGCTTAAAAAATATGTTTCGAAAAAAATTCGCGCAATGAAAACCACATTGTTGCTTTTTAGACACTACTTTGGGGTTTATGCTTATATCAATATCAGAATTCATCCAAATAAAATTACGTCTAATTTTTCAATGAAACAAAGTTATTTATATTTTCTTAATTTAAAAAATGAATGCTTCATGTGCTAATTTCGCCACAACTACAACAGTCAACGAATAGTTCTGAATACCCCATTAGTGATTGTAGTCGTAGGTTTACTGATTTTTAGAAAAAGACTAGAATTCCATCTTTTATATTATATATAAGTCAATACGCGCTTATGCGCTAAGCTCTCTTGGTCTTAAGATAATTTGAATATAAATTTCACCATCGGTGTCAAAAATTATGGATTTTTCATGTACATTTCTCAATCAACAACCATTTCTCAGAAAATTGAAAATTTTGTTCGTCTAACTTTCTCTAAAAAAAAAACTTTTTATTCCCGTAGTAAGTATGCTTTTCGTTTAGTACATTTAAGGAATTTATCCATTCGATTTTCTTGTTTCTGTACTGTACTGTTGTACTGTTGTCTAGTCATTGATCAATCGAGTCGAGTGACGAAAAAGTAAATGAAATGGCCAATTAAAATAGCAATAGAAAAGTCCCGTGTCACGATGTTTGATTACTAATAATGTTCAATTAATAATGTAAATGTGTATTATTGCTCCAACTTGAGGAATAGGAAAAAAATTTTTGTCAAGACAAAAACTATCGCTAAGAAATAATATACCTGGTAGGTAGTGACAAAGGGCAAAACAATTTTTTTGTCATGGTAGCTAGTAATAATAGTAGGTAAGTATAAAATTAATTTTGTTTTTTTTTTTTCAGGAATATACTGGGGAAGATGACAGTGATCTGTATTTGGAGGAGCGTTTATTTGCTCTCCGCCAAGCCCAAGAAGAGAAGCGAAGGGTACAACTATCTGTACCTGGTATTCTTAACCCTCATGAATTGCCTGAAGAGATGCAAGATTAAATTGTAACTTACTAACAAACAAAACACTATGGTAACAGTTCAATTCAACGTTAAGGACAGGGGATAAGATAAAAGATAAAAATATGGATACCTATTTATTATATCAGGATCTAAACAATTCCATATATTTTTTTACACAAATGACCTTACAAATAAAATTAATACTGACATGAATTATATAAATTATGTTTAAGTGGGTACTTAAGTTATACATGTATGTTATTCTTGTTCAAACATATTTGAGATAGATTAATATAAAGATTGTTTAGTGTGAATCCTGATGGAGGGTCCTAGAAATGTATTAATTCCAGACATTCTAACTTTAGATGATAACATCTATTCTGGAATAATATTAAGCTAATCAATAAGAGTAAAGTAATAAGCGCATGGAATGAATTGAAATGTTTACATTGTACTCCATTATATCAGTTTAAATCAGAGGAACTTAGTGATTAATTACAATGAAAGTAATTAATTACCATAAAGAAGTGAAATAACAATATTTTGCAGCGAGAGTGGCATAATATTGTTTTAATGAAGGTATATATGTAACAAATATATTATTTCCTCTAGAATAATTACGCGAAAATAGAAAATTCACAAAGTATTGGTGACATAGGCTGCTGTAATTTTGGGTCACGTAATGGACTGTTACCGATGGTGTGGGTCAGAGTCTTGTACCTTCAAAATGTTGCCCTCTTATGCCAGTTTGTACAGAGGTCCGTTAGGAACAATGCAAGGTGATGAATGTAAGTGAATGGGTTATATAAACCTTTTCTATGACGGTATGTTTTGTTGGCACAAGATTTACTTGACCATTTTAGTTATAAGCTGAAAATCATGCATCAATTTACATTGCTATAACGGAAATAGAATATTTCTATGTTTTTAAGATAATCTGCAAATGTAGGTAACGAAATCTCTGTGATGGAAATCAGTGTCGGATATTCAACATGTGCGGTACGGAAACTGAGTATTACTTAGTAGATTCTAGAAAAACTGTTAAGTGCATTGCTGTTAGTAACATTTTTATGTTTTGTTTAATGTTGTCAGAACTAATTTCGTATGGTTTTGAAATCTAAATATTCAAAATAGATTTCTGGATGCATTTTGGATCCGATTAACTGTCAGTCTTTCAATTTTGTGTTTGAATAAACCTATAAATATTAATAAAATGTCTATGATTTGCGCTATTAATCTATGCCATTATGGTCAGGGATGAAAGAGGATTTCTTGGTTTCGTGCGTGAATAATTTGCTAATGATTTATTAATGGTATAAATAATTGAAAAATTATTTAAATGAACTTTTCTCCAACAAACAGCGCCCATTGGGATTAAGTGGCAAAAAATCGACCTAATTCATAATAGTAGCACAGTATAGTAACTAATTTTAGTACGGCTCAGTAGCGGTATAAGTTTCACTTTATATTTTGGGGTGGGGGTCACCTTTATTACTGATGAGTATAAAAAATAGACATTGGTCGATTCTCAGACCTACCCGATATGCACACAAAATTTCATAAAAAAATGGTTAAACTTCTCGGAGGAGTTTGGTAACAAACACCGCGACATGAGATTTTTATATATAAGAAGATATATGTATAAAACAGAATAATATTATACACATAAGTAACTCAACTGTTAATTGTATTGTAAAATCTTTTTGTTTAAGTTTTTAAAATATGAACGATCTGCTCTAATCTGGTATCATTTAGAAGGGAATTTCAAAGCCGGGCAGCCTACACTGTAAAGGTATTGGTTTAGGAGTGAGTTTTTTTTCAATAAATGATATTGGAATGGTAACCCTGCCTGTGCTAACAGTATACGCTGGCGAGGCACTATTGATGATGATGATGATTACTAATAATCTCTTCTCTCCCAGGAGTGGAAGTTCTGAATAGGTACTTCGAATTAATAAAGTTTTAGACAAATACGGGGATCGGGGATTCTAAAGGAAAAGGTGGTAATCGGGGTATATTGCTAGTAATGATGCGGTTCAATCCCCATTACCAACAATTCCTTTTCTCCTTGTACTTTTAGATAGGTAGAGGATCGTAGTTTTTAATGGATGACAACGAAATGGTAACCCCGCTTGCACTTACGGTATACGCTGGCGAGGCACCAGTGAGGGATTATAGGTGAGAATGAAAAAATAGGTCAGTTAGCCCATCGTTATGAATAAACCAATGACCCCCATTATTAACAATCCTTTCCCCCCAGATGAACGTAGGTATTCATTACTTGCATTGTGGTAAGTAGTACAGAAATTAATTTGACAGCAATATCGAACAATTATTTTAGTAATGAACATTCCGTATATTATCTGTGACATTATTAACAATCCTTTTTACATAGGTGACTATGTAATTTTTTTTTGTACCACTGAGTTGACAAACAAGCATACGGCCCACCTGATGGTAAGTGGTTATCGTAGCCTATGAACACCTGCAATACCAGAGGTATTACGTGTTCATTGCCGACCCTGAAGAAACCTCTTTACCCCCTTATGAAGAACCCCATACTGTAGTCTCTTGGGAAAACCTTGACAGGGAGCTCATTCCACAACCTGAGTGTTCGTGGGAGGAAACATCTTTGAAACCGCGCAGTACGCGACCATTGAGGCTGTAGGACATGAGGATGAACTCCCTTTCGATGGCGAGCCGTACGATGGTAGAAAGTGGCTGTGGGCATCATATTGAACAATTTCTCTGAGCACAATCCATTGTACAGGCGGTAGAATATGCAGAGAGAGGCAAAATCTCTCCTAAGACTTAAGGGTTCGATACCGCTTGTGAGCCTGGGATCATCGACAATTCTCATAGCTCGTCGTTGCAACGAGTCGAAAGGATCAAGTTGGTATTTAGGTGCTCCGGCCCATAAGTAACAGCAATACTCCATATGGGGCCGGATTTGCGATTAGTAGAGTATTAATCGTTGATCCGGCATGAAGTAATGCTTCGATATATTGAGCACACCGAGTTTTTTGGATGCCAGATTCACCTTATTTTCGAGGTGGCCACGGAATTGTAAATCACTAGAGATGTCGACACCAAGGATCCCAATGCTTTTAGAGATGTTTTTTTTTAATGGGTGATAATGGAATGGTAACCCCACCTGCACTATCGGTATACACTGGCGAGGCACCAGTGAGTGATAATAGATGAAAATGAAAGCAGGTCAGTTAGCCCATCGTGACGAATTCCACTAGAATTAACCACGATGGTTTCCAGGGGGAACCGCGTGGAGCTCGACCTGATAGGGTATACTACTAGTAATGGATTTATTAGACTCCATTACTAACAATCCCATCCCCCCGCTTTTAGAGATGTTAAGAACTGTGGAGCCACAGCAAATGAGGTTTTCTTAGCGGTGAGTGCGCAAGCTTGTGTCTTAGCGGGGTTAAACTGGAATAAGTTTTGTTGTTCCCAATCGGAGACTCTAGTTAACGTTCTCTCGATTTTAGACACAAGCTGTTCACGATTGTCCTCCATGATGGAACGAGGGACATTGGTGATAATAAGATGATAATAGAATTCGGCCAGTGAATATATATATATATGAGTTTATTATTTTTATTTTTAAGTTGCTAGTTGTTGTTAGTAGTACTTTGGACATGGTATGCCTGCATTGTCATTATTGCACTTAAATTAAAAAATGAGCCAGTCGGGACGTGTTGCTCATTAGGACAGTGCTACTAACGGAAATTGAAACACCACGTGAACCATTGCACGGCATACTTATCGGTACGGATCGAGATTCTATCCTGTTCCTAAAGTCAATTCGCACATTCAGTTCATGTTTCCAAATAACATCTTTCGGAGCAACAGAAATAATTCAATATGCCGAGCTGGACGCTCGGTTAAATAAGTACAATGAATTGTTGAAATTATTCAAATCACACATGCCCAAGCTACAAAGTGAAAACCACACTATTGTCATGAATCCTGATAGAACACCAGCTGGAGAGCATATACGTAAATTCAACGCACCTGTTGTTGACGACGTTGCTGGAATCATAGTTGGCGACCGTATAGCTACACGACAAATTGTGATTCGAAGAAGAAATAATAATCTTCAGTTCATTGTTCATACCCACTGTTTATATGACCATCTCTAATATGCGCTAGTTTTATAGAAAAAAGTTAACAGGGGGAAAAATATGCACACTGGGTTAGCTATTTTCATTAATAATAAATATATATGAGTGAGGGATGATGGGTGAAGATGAAAAAGCAGAACAATTCCAAATGAATTTATTCACATTGTGATATATTCATTTGGAATCAAGCACGATGGTTTTTTTATGGATGATAATGGAATGATGATCCCGCCTGTGCTATCAGTATACGTTGGTGGGGCTCCATTGACACATGACAGGTAAGGATGAAAGCAGGTCAATTAGTCTACCGTAACGAATTATACAGGAATTAACCACGATGGTTTCCAGGGGGAAACCACATGGAGGTCAACCTAATATTGTTAGAAGTTATTGGGGCAGTTAAACCCCATTACAAACAATTCCTTTCCCCCAAGCACGAAGTCTTTTTTAATGGGTGAAAATGAAATGGTAATCCCGCCTGCGCTATTAATATACGCTGGCGGGGCACCAGTGAGTGATGCTAGGTATGAATGAAACAGGTCAGTTGGTCCATCACGACGAATTTAATGATAATTGACCATGATGATTTCCAGGGGGAACTACTGGTCGGTCGACCTGATAGGGTATATTGCTAGCAACGGGGCAGTTAGATCCGATTACTAACAATCCCTTTCTGCCCAAGCACGATGGTTTTCAAGGGAGATTGCGAGATGGTTAACTTGACAGGCTATCCTGACGAATTCAACTAGAATTAACCATGAGAATTTTACTGGGGGAACCGCGTTGAAGTCGACTTGATATTGTTTATAATTGATCTATTTGACCCTGATGAAATAAAATAAAGGAAATCTATATAGCGTATTATATTATATTTTATTTAAGTTTAAATTGAGAGTACCAGGAAAAGGTAACATAGCAACGCGTAGGCTCCACAGACCAACATAACACATAAAACCTACTTCAACTTTTATTTTGATTCCAACATCAATTACGAAGCCTACTCTAGAAATTGACCAGATATTATGGGAAGTGTTGAAAACTTGTGTTTATTATCAATAATATTAGGAAATTGAGATCTCATTGTATAAAATAATAATAAATATATTTAAGAATGTTATCTTTTGTTTGAAATTTGTTAAAAAATCTTTGAAACATGCAATTTGACATACAATTTATATTTTTCTATTATCACATGATTTGCGTTTCTACTATCTAACTACAGTATATTTATAATCTATTCGTTTCCATTTTGAACATCAGGCTGGCCAATACAACGAACAACGAAGGATTTTGTGTAGATTGGTAAGATATTCCTGACCAAGTTGTTTTACGTGGCTTATATGAAGTGTGTACTTCTATCTTCTATCTCTTGGTTAAATAAGGTTAAATAATCTTTGCTATTAATGAAATGGTCACACTGCTATGTATGTTCTGTCGTTCTTACTTCTTCATTTGATAAGACTTCTTGAAAATTTGCAAAATTTTATAAATCATGAAAATTATTTAATTTTCTTTTTGTAACAACAGGCAATAAGAGAGCAATATTATATTTGAATTTTCATTAAAATGGCTAACGTTAATGAAGAACCTGCTGGCGAAACCGGAGAGAGCAGATTGATTCCTTCAGAAAATGCCAATAATGCGAGCGGAGCCCTTTCAGACGATAATGTTGATGTAAGTTTTTCATTAAACTTTTATTCTTTAATTTCTATAAGAATACAAATTATTTATTGTATATAACTGAGGTGCATCTATCGATAATTTAAATATAAATTAACCTTCACAGTAAAATTGAATGCGCATTTTATTTATATCAATGTCGGCTGAGATGTGAAAATTATTTTCCAGGTCAATGCTCAGATTGATGAACAGCGACGTAGAATGCAGCCAACGAAATTGGAATCGTTTTTTGCAATAACTAAATCTCTTATAATTAGAGCATTAGTTGTTTATTTCATTACATCCATGTTCCGTCAACCATCAGCACCAAAAACTGATGTTAGTAACCCTACTGGCACTCCTCGAATTCCTGCAATTAATATGTTTAATAATGGCACATTGCTTGATATGTATTGTTATGTGTCAGAAAAAGAGTTTGTTGGAAATCTACAGGCTGAAAACTTAATTTGGAAGCATACCGGACTTGTCTATGGTGACTGGAATGGAGGACCAAATGGCGATGGTACATATACATATACTACAAATATTGTACCTTCTATATCTGTACAGAATAATGGCTCAATGTACCTCCATGTATTTGTGGTGCCTTCTGGCAAGTCACCGGATCCTGAAGATAAACATAATTATGCTGGTCCCTTTGTCACATATGGTAAGAAGATGTTGAACAAATATAAGAAGTTGCGTTATTTAAAAACACATAATTTATTGACTGGTCAAACAGAGAAGTCTGCAGAAGAAATAAAGAAAGCTGAAACATTAAAGGAAGAAGTAGTGTCACATTGGCATCCTAATTTAACAATTAATGTAGTCACTGATCAAACTAGCTGGATGCAAGGAAGTGTGCCACCACCACTTGATGAGTTTATTATGTTTCTACCAGATGGAAAACAATATAAGCCAGCAGTTTTTCTTAATGATTATTGGAATATGATGCGTGATTATGTTCCCATAAATAAGACTACTACAAACCTTATGTTACAATTGACATATCAGCCTTTGAGTCTTTTCAAATGGCAATTGTATACAGCACAAGCAATGAGGGATAAATTGAGCATGTTTTCTGCATTAGGAGCTGAAGAGCAAGATGAGGAGCAGGATACGGTTAAGGAATTGCTTTTAGACACTTCACCTTATTTGTTGGCTCTAACTATAACAGTTTCAGTGTTACATTCTATATTTGAATTGTTGGCTTTCAAGAATGACATCCAATTTTGGAATAATAGGCAGTCATTGGAAGGGCTGTCTGTAAGATCAGTATTCTTTAATGTTTTTCAGTCTACTGTTGTTTTATTGTATGTTCTAGATAATGAAACTAATGTAATGGTTAGAATATCTTGTTTCATTGGTTTAATGATAGAAATATGGAAAATTAACAAAGTAATGGATGTGAAGTTAAATAGAGAGGACCACATATTTGGTATACCAAAGTTGACTTTCACTGATAAAGGATCTTATGTAGAATCTAGTACTAGAGAATATGATACTTTGGCATTTCGTTATCTAAGTTGGGCTTGTTTTCCTCTCTTGATTGGATATGGTATATACTCATTATTGTATCAAGAACATAAGGGATGGTATTCATTTATACTTAACATGATGTATGGATACTTATTAACCTTCGGTTTCATTATGATGACTCCTCAGCTATTCATAAACTACAAGTTAAAGTCAGTTGCCCATCTGCCATGGCGAATGATGACATATAAGTTCCTAAATACATTCATAGATGATATATTTGCTTTTGTTATCAAAATGCCAACTATGTATCGTTTGGGATGCTTCAGAGATGGTAAGTATTAAATATGTACACATGAAATATAACAAACACAGTTTATACTTAACTAAGTCTTTTATAATCATTGTTATCTTGTTACAGATATAGTGTTCTTCATTTTCTTGTATCAGCGCTGGATCTATAAGGTAGATCATAAACGTGTAAATGAGTTTGGATTCTCTGGGGAAATGGAGCAGCAGCAAAAGCAAGCTAAAAATGGTGCACCAGCTATAACAGAAGCAGAGCAACAACCAGCAGATAAGAAGAATGATTAGAAAATGTTCATTTGTTTTTAGTATTGTAATACTTAATCTACCTATATACCAATTAACACATGTTTTATGTTGAAAGGTATGTGTTTTGTGTTTGAATTTATAGATAGTTGAAAGACATCTAATATATTGAATAGTTGTAATCGTATACATTAGTAAATTATTGTAAGTCAAATAATATGCTAGCTTGTTACATCTGATAAGTTTTATCTTTCCATTAAGAGCTAAAATATTTGTAATATTTAATTATCTGGCTGTTTGAGAATTTAAACTATTATTTTTACATTTTGAAGAGAGCAAAATTCTATTATTGAGTAATAGTTACCCTCGTGATAATTATCCTGGTGTTAAATACGACTGGTGACACATAGTTATATACATTACTATCATTCTGTGTTATATGTAAATGTATTATACATATTATATTTATGGGTATATTGACTAGAATTATTGCTATATATTAGTTACATCTGACGTATTTAACTATGACTATTATTCTGATATTGTCTGATATGTTGGTTACGTTTTTATTTTTTAAATTAAAACTTTTTCAGTACTCAATAAATTTGTTTACGTTAGAAACAATTCCAGGTTAATGATACATCATAAATGAATAATGTAGTTGATACTTTTTCTATTTTAGTATTCAGAATATTGGTCCCACAATAGCTTCTCTATCTATTGCACATTGTTTTAATTATTAAACATTATGATATATTATTGAAATACCGTACGCCACTATTATTCTTTGTTAATTTATCAATAATGCTACGAAGTTCAAAGTTGAAATGTTGTATTATTGTTATATAACTATGAATTAACTGATTGGAAAGTCGCGTATAGACCTTTTTCCCCTGACACAAGTTACAAGTCCTAATATATTTTATACCAAATGTTATTTGCATGTAAAGAGAAGAGATACTTATTCTTCTGAGACAAGACTATTCATACTTTTGCAGGTAAATCAGGAACTTGTTCTTTTGGTTATAAAAAAGATTGGTCAACTAGCATAAACTAACGTAAGTAGGTACCTAATGCTGTATGTTTTTCTGTGTGAAAAGATCTGTATAAACAAATGATCGCTAATTATTCATTATTGCTGGCGAGAATTAATCTCCACTTTACTATATATATATTTTCATGTCTTGTCGCAAAGACAAGAACTCTAAAAAATAAGAAATTAACGTTTCATTAGCGCTACGCTCATGAAATGTTATTGATTTTTTTTAGGTTAGCATTTGTTTAACTGCTTGTAAAATAAAGATGACGATCGATTTGGCTACGCAGATCGGTAAATGTAATGTCACTCGCAATATTGACAAGTTTGTATGAGGATTTCGGATCCGTTCGTTAAATGGTTAAATTCCAGACGACGAGGGAAATTTGCAACAGTATCGTTAAGTATGAACGAAGTTTTAGCATAATGGGCACGGTGTGTGATACAAAATAAACTAATTGGACGTTCATACTTAGGACATTAATACTCGATATGATACGCCTGACTTTGAATTTCAAGATAATACAACTGTAGAGTTGGGTTTATGCATTTTTAAATATTCGGACGTCAGACAAGTATTTCTATAAGGATCTATATTAGTAGTGTATTGATTTACAAAATAATGGTATGACCATAGAGTTCTATGGCTAGTTAGCCATAACGTATTCGTTATGAATTTTTATTAATTTTGTTATTTCCATTCCTTACCTATATGATGCCCAATTGTCGTAAAAAGATATTTTTAGGATGATTTGTATTATTGATGCTTGTTTTTAATTTTTCAAATAAGGTGCTCTTACAAAGCAGTGACACTTGGCAATTGTAGTTAATTCAGAATACTGTTTTTAACGTAGCGGGATCAGCCTGTTAAGCCAAGACAAAATAAGAATACATCGATCTTTATTTCATCTTCGTCTAGAAGTCTTTTAGTGTCTGTTAGGTGACTGATCACAGCTAATTATTTCTTTACAAAAAATGGCAGGTAGAAAATTAGAGTATAATACATTGTACTCTTATTTTGTACCTGCCATTTTCTTGTTAGAAATGTTACATTATTTCTATTTCACAAATGCATACTTCAAAGTAACAAAATGTCGCTTGTCTGTAAGAGCCCTAAGTAGGTAGTTACAATGTTTTTTAGGTAATTTCTATTTATTTAATAATATATTATATTGGCTTTCAATATTCGTGAATGTGCACGTGTTTTCATTGAACTACATACGATAGCATTTTCAAATAAATGACATTATCTAAACTGTTAACAATAGCACAACATAATTATTATTCATATAAAACATGCACGACTTTGCAAGTATTATAATAATAAATAATTGTATTTGTTTACATTTGTTGAGTATTTTCATTTTGCTTTACCTGAGTTTTAGGGTAAGTATCTAGAAGTACGTATTGTTTCGAAAAATTTATAACAACAGGGGAGTAAACTCTTCTTTAGATGTTTTGTTCGCTGAAAACCAATTCTCAATTTTGTCAGTGAGACATGAACTTACACATGAGCTCACGTGTAAATCCATGTCTGTCTTTTTACGGAATTTGGAATAACAAGTTGACTACTGATGGAAAATGGTAACTGTTTTATACAGATGAATATCACATATTACACTGACACAATAAGACAGTGCTATGGTGTTTAATGTTAAATGTTGAAATTGCCATGAAGTTTTTATTATAAAAAAAAATGAAATAGTAAACCCCGCCTGTGCTGCTGTTTATATATGACAAGGTATATTGCTAGTAATGGTGTCATTAAGTCTCATTATTAACATTTTCTTTGTCATCCAACCTAATTGTCTAGTTCCTCGTGAATTCGTCACATTGGATTAACTGACCAAACTTCAACCTTATTGGTATACTGCCAGCTTAAAAGTATAAAACCAATAATGCAGGTGGGTTTTTTTTTAATAGATGATAATAGAATGGTAACCCACCCGCGCTATCGGTATACACCGGGAGGGCACCAGTGGAGGATGATAGGTGAGGATGAAGTAGGTCAGTTAGCCCATCGTGACGAATTCAACAAGAATTGTTCACGATGGTTTCCAGGAACCACCACGTGGAGGATGACCTAATAAGGCATATTGCTAGCAATGGAGCTGTCAAATTCCATTGCTAACAATTCCTTTCCCCTCATGCAGGTGGGGTTACCATTAATACAGTTCGACTAATTTCGTGAACTGCGTTCCTGCTGTGTGCAGTTCGCCTGCTTTTATACAGTTTTTTTCGTTTCGAAATTAACAATTTTCGTTGTTATATAAATAGCAAAACCGATGGAGAATCCAATTTTCAGGAAAGATGGAAATGGCGATAATGTTACAGTATTTACTTTTAAAGGAAACGATGAAATCGTGTGCAATAAAAAAAAAATTTGGAATTCTATTTTTATTTTATATAATATTTTTTAAAAAATATTTTTGATATTTATAAAAATAAACGTATAAATCAATAATACATTTTCCAAAGATCTTAACTTCCTCATTGTAGGTTTTATTATAGGTATCAGCCTTAGTGAAGGGGGGCGGGGCGTGAAAACTTGCCCAGAGGTACCTGGTACACTAAGGTCAATCCTGTAAGCAGGGTCTTAGGGGGTTAGGAGCATTTGGGGATCTGAGTAATGTAATGAGATATAAAAGAAGCGCGGGCATGATATGGGCGATTTTGAACCCAGTGTGGGCAGCACTGAAATTGGTGATGACTTTTAGGAACCCAACCATATAGATATTGGACTTGGTCGACCCGGCGTGGGCGATATTGAACCCGGTAAATTTTTGATCTGGTAGTGAGCGACATGAAAATAGACGATGACCATTTTTTAGATATCTTACTCGGCGTGGACGACACTGAAATGAATGATAACTTTGTTTTCGACATGAAGCCTCTCCAAAAACTTGCTTTGAGGCGCCAGTTACACTAAGGCTGATCCTGCTTGTCGGTAGTCACACACGTCACAATATGTGACGTGTGTGAATTGAAGAAGTAACACATTATAAGTAATAATAGGACAAAATATTAAAATTAACATATAACCAGCTCAAAAAGAAATTCACAACTTTACTTCTAGCACACTAATGGAACAAAGATAGCCAAAATATGTTAACGAATAACAATATTTGGTGGATTTTTGAGTACACATTCTTGATAAAAAAACAGTTGTAAGTTTTGATAATTATTTTTATACAGACCTTTCATAAGGTGAAACTGGTCGTATAATATAAAAAAAATACATTAACATACAATTACAGATTCTGTTGCGACCTTTTTGGGGGATTTTTTTTACATTTTCTTTTAATACCTATAATTATACATGTGGCTTAACAGATAGGGCCCACAAAATCAGACAAACAGTTATCCGAGACAGATAGATAAAATTTTCATTGTTTGAGACAAATGTTTATTTCGCTGTATTCTTCTCAAACTTCGCCGATAAGCCGGTTTTCTCAGATTACTTAGCTAATTGGTTATGTACAGTTATTTCCATTTCATTTTCTGAGCATTCTGGAAATAAGTTCTATTTCTAATTTATAAGATTATCTGAAGGGGCAACCTGGTGCCCAGTGACCATTGGCGCCGCAACTGTAGCACCGTCCGTACCCTCCGTAGTAGGAACCAGGTACACCTGGGACGGCATCGTTACTGTGTCCGTGGTTTGCACTTCCAGATTCGTCTGTACCTGTACATAAAAATATTGAGTCTTTAAGTTTATACTTTGAAAATGAATAGGGATACTTTCTTAAGTAAAATAAAGTTTAGACTTATAATGTTAATATTTATGTATTATATGTACGTTAAACAGATGTAATCGTATTTGTAAACTTACCACCATCGGCGCTGGTAACAGAAAGATCTGTGGGGGACTCCTCGGAATTGGAAGCATCGTCAGATCTACTGTTGGTATTTGACGACTCATAGTACCGTCCTCGTGGAAATGGCCAGAAGTCGATGTAGTCGTCGCTAGTAAATAACAATATAACGTTGTTTTTATTATTGTAATCATCATCTACCAAACCTTATTCTAATTATATAAACTTTGGAGTCGGCGTAATATGTTCTTATACATATTAGCCAAGGTTTTGGCTTTTAGTTTTATGACTGGCCGCCTGCTCGATGTCAACCCTCCTTTGGAATGGCCTGGCCACTTATTGTATGAAGGAAAGTTTCAAAGAAAAAGGAGGGAGACTTTGTTCTTATTATTAAGTATTTTTATTGTTTTCTTTTTTTTACAACATGGGGGTAAACAAGCATGCGGCTCACCTGATGGTAAGTGACTACCGCCGCCCATGATCACCTACAACATCAACGGCATTGCAGGTGTGCTGCCGGCCTCTTAAAAAGGAATATACTCTTCTTTGAAGGTTATGATGTCGTATCGGTTCGGAAATACTGCTGCTGGAAGTTGATTCCAAAGAGGGGTTATGCGTGGAAGAAAGTGCCTTGAAAAACGCACGGTGGAAGGCCGCCACTCGTCCAGATGGTTGGGATGAAACTTTAGTTTATGGTGGGTTGTACGGTGGTGAAAATCAGCAGCCGGTATCAATCCGAACAATTCCTCAGAGCATTCCCCACGATAAATTCGATAGAAGATGCACAGAGATGCAATATCTCTACGCAGTTTCAGTCGATTGAGTCGTGCAGTAAGGCGCTGATCATCAATAATTCGAGTCGCCCGACTTTGAATGTGGTCTAACAGTCTAATAAATGAATAAAAAAGTGGGTTGGTAATTTTGTGCAGCATAGGAAGTTATCAATATTTCTAGATTCACATATATGCGGACAATAGTGGAAATCCATCAATAGTGGATTTCAAAATACAAAAAAAGGTTATCCTAGATCCAAATATGGAGACAGATTGTGTGGTTTACATTGGGTTACCTACTAATTCTACAAGTTAAGTCAGTGTTGGGTTGCTCAGTCAGGTTTCCGTACCGACACCAATGATGCCTGTACATGTCTGACCCAATATATAAATTTGCCTGTAATGCGATGGAGCAGAACACTAAATGAGAGACTGTCAACTCTAACAAAATAATAATAGGTTTAGTCTCAAAATGATCACCGTTGATCCACATACCTCGTAGATAATGATATTATGTGTTTTTAGGTATAGGTATATATTGCTCCAGATCGCTTCTCCTTGCTTGGTTTGTTTATTTTTGTATTTTTCTGTTTTATATTACTATTTGTATTTCAAAGTACACAATTTAGTGTGTGTTGTGTTCACCTTAAAAAGATGAGCATTTACAAAATAGTTTAAATAATACTATAAATGTAAAAGTAATTTAGCAATTACTTGTCTAATATTAATAAATAAAAATATTACAGTATCTGATCCCATGCCTTTTGGGCGAAGTTTATTCTGCAGCTTATACCACGTGATTTATTGGAAAAGCTGAAGTTGCACTTAGAAATGTTAAAAGTCTGATTAAGAGGTAACTACATAGAACTTTGTATCACTTCTTTGATTGTTCATGTTGTTGTTTATATATTTTTTTTGTTTTTGGAGTGTAGTCATAACAATATTCCTGATTCTTGGATGACATCGATTGATTCTCAATACGCCTGATGCCACGCCGCCGTTTGATGTAATAGTTTCCATATTTTTACCATTTAATAATCTTCTAACTTAAGCCGAAAAATATTTGTTGTATGTATTATGTACGCTACTTACTTGTCCTCGTATTCCTCCTCCTCCTCCCCCTCCTCGAAGAACTCGAAATTGCTGTAGTCCGTGTATCCATAGCTGTAATCTCCGCTGAAATAAAATTAATTATTGAAACACAAGTAACTTTTCACTATCACTACATAGTATAAAACAAAGTCGCTTCCCGTCTATTCGTCCCTATGTATGTTTAGATCTTTAAAACTACGCAACGGATTATAATGCGTTTTTTTTTAATAGATAGAATGATTCAAGAGAAAGGTTTATATTGTGTAATACATACATATAGTAGAAAAACTGATAATTTTAGAGGTTTCTAATGTAATGTGATGTAATGTGCACCCGTGCGAAGCCGGGGCGGGTCACTAGAACATAAATATATAACATGGAAAGTATCCTATTTTTGTATTTTTAACACCTAAAATATATATAACTAGCGGCCCATTCCGGCTTCGAACGGGTGGACATTTTTACAACATTTAACATTTTTATCTGATCCTACCTAGCTACAATACTTATTTCATAGATGTGCCCGCCTCCACCTGTTCCTCTCTCGCACCACTAAAATAGGTATGAATAACATTTATAACGCGACAGCGTTATTTTTTCTGTTTCTATGACTTATTAAATTCCTGATATCTATTGAATGGAATAGCCGATTTGAACAATTCAAAAAGTAATCTACATTAATTGAACCTGTTTTGAAAACAATATTATTTATTTGGATAAGGATTTAAACAGAAGTATGAATAACATGGTGTAATTTTGGTCGGTATATCTAACAACTTTTAAAATGTAAAAAGTGGTTATTGTGACATAACGATAATAGTTGGACATATAGTGTCGGGAAGTTTTTTGTAGTTATTGATATTTTCTTCAATATTGTAGAACATACTTTTGTTCTATCACCAATAGTTTCCGCAGCGCACGCGACGAATAATATTTTATAGCATTTTTTTACACCCTGAGTTACGTTATTAAAGTTTTAGTAAGAATCCCTAATCTTTTCTAGCAATAAATATAGCTTATGTTACTCAGGGTGAATGTAGCTTTCTAATGATGAAAGAATTTTTGAAATCGGCGAAGTAGTTTTTGAGTTTATTCATTACAAACATACATGCACACAAAAATACAAATCTTTCCTCTTTATAATTTTAGTGTAGATTAACATACATGACACATCGTATTTATTTTCTTACTCTTTATTGCACCATTTAAAGAATAATATAACTGTATGTATGTATCAAATTTGTAAAAAACATTTCAAACATCATATCAGTCGTTAACTGTCCACTGTTGAACAAAGGCCTCCCCCTATTGGGGTGGCGGGGAGAGATTGCTAGTAATTGCCACGTTTGGCAGGCAATGTTTGTTGGGTATTTATTGTTATAATCATCATCATATTAGACTTTAACTATCCATTGCTGAACATAACCCCCCCAAAAAGGAACCTTTAGGTAGTTTTGCCATACATGGTAGGCGGATTGTTATAATAAATACTAGTAATCCATTCGAGACATGGGTGTCTAGGCAATAGAGCTATTTATGGGGATAAAACTCCTATCTCACAACTTGGAGCAATGAATACACATTTATAAAATTTCATTACAATCGGTTGAGCGGTTTTGGAGATTAGTGTGAACGAATATCGTTACAACACGACACGATATTGACATGGGATTTTTGTATATTACAATGATGTCACACATAATAATGACACGAGATGTTGAAGGACACTCCTAGTGTTGCAGGCGTCCATAAGCCACGCTAACCATTTACCATCCGATGGGCTGTATGTATGTTTGCCGCCTTCGTGATATAAAAAAAGGACAGAAAAAGAAACCAATTTACAAAGAGAGATAATGGGACTTAATTAGATTCTTAAAGGACTGGGTATCATTTGTGCAAGAAGGTAGCGAATTCCCTTGTTACATGGCGTGCACAGAGGTTTTGGTGTAAAAGGAAAAACTGAGGTCTTTTTTTTGTATTTTTTTTAAAAACGATGTTAGTTACAAACATGGCTATATTTTTCTTGTAATATTCAGATATAACTTTTAAAACCGTAATTATTTCAGATTTTTCACTTCAGAAACTTCGGTGATAAGAAGGGACTAATAAGGATGACTATTTTTCTCACATTTTCGATCATAACTCAGAAAACACGCAGCATAAAAATAAATAAAAAACAGTTTTAAAATGTACAAAAGAATGTCTTTACATAGGATATTCCACTTGGGCTAATGAGTTAATTATGAAATTTTGAGTATCCGTTTTGGACCCCTTAGCAAAGAAAATAAAAAAAAGCCATTGTAATATGCTTAATGATATGTAAAACTTGTTGAAATTTGAGATTTATATCATTAGTAGTTGTTGAGATGTAACGCTGTGATAGACAGATGGACCGACAAAGTTGGTGCGACTTTGTCGGTCCGTCTGTCTGTCACAGCGTAAAAGGGTTCTTTTGCACCTTTTGATAAGGAAGACTAAAAAGGTAACTTTAAAGTCGTGATAAAAATCAATACTGGAACAAATTTATCAATAACAAAAGAAATTATCAAATTCAGTTCAAGATTACCAAAGATTTTGCATAACGTATATACGAATAATACCGGCTCTTTTTCAAAGTAGCGTGGTATACATTATTGGCAAATAACTTAACAGATATTACGCTATTATTAGTGTAATTCAGATATACGTGGTATGGCTGGCCCATACGTAAATGAATAAAATAACACAAGATAGAAGCATACCGACTGGTCCCCGCGCTGAGCTGACTCTCTAGCGCTGACTCGAGTTCTGCAAACAATACAGCTTCATAAAACTACTCTATTTACACAATTGTATTTCTCAGAATATACATATTACAACTTTACACATTAGAATGATCTAGCGTAAATTATGCGAGAGGAAAAAATACATGGTAATTTGCCTTTATATTATAGACTTCTCATATTTTTTAAATTCCAATGACTCAATAAATTAGTTACGAAACTTGTATATAGAAGTATATTTCTATTAATGTTAAGAAAATATTATTTTATTACAATCATGAAATTAATTAAATCTTTAACTATGAAGCTGTATTGTTTACAAGTATTTCAATGTTATTAAATAAAGAATTTAAAGAAAATTCTTATCCTTGTTAAAATGCTATTGGAGAATACAACACTCTTGTAAGAATATTGTGCTCTGGCTTATCACAAAAAATATTCATAATATAGGTTCACATAGGCTATAAAAGGTTGTCTGAGAAACTAGATGTGTTCAAGTGGCAAACAATTCAATTTTTGATCGATTTCGAAAAGGAGAAGCTAAGGTTGAAGTATGAATTATTATTATATTATACAACAATATTTACAAATATTGTTACTCGTCATAGCGCTATAGATTTTTGCCTTAAGTGAATCTGTATAACAATACTATGTACTGTGTAAAAAATATATATATATATATATATATATATATATATATATATATATATATATATATATATATATATATATATATATATATATATATATATATATATATATATATATATATATATATATATATATATTTTACCTTCTCTGTTTTTGAGTAGTTCCTGTCTCTTATTCTTCATTTCCTCAGTGAGATTTAATACCATTTTTTCTATGAAAGAGTCTATTACTAAGCTTTTGCATTCGGAAGTAATCGCCGCCCTGTAAATTATCATAAATGCATTAGTTGTATACAATAATAAAAAATATTTTTGTCAGGAATTACCAACAAGTATATATAAATATAAGAAAGGCAAAAATATCTATTTGCTCCCACTTATCAGGCTATTTCTCTGTTCAATTCTCTGATTGCTCAGCAGCCAGATATTGATATATTTAATGACAAAACAGATATATTTTTAAAATGTTGTTCAAAATTTTTAAGTTTGTAAAATAAACCTATGGCTCACTACACGTTTTGGGATACTGTAAGTGTGGTGAGTAATTTATAAATAAATAAATAAAATAAATATATATATATATATAAAAACAATTCTCTATAATTTATATCTATAGAGAATTGTTTTTTTAGACAGTCGAGAGAAATTAAACAAGAATACACATCACCATATCATATCATAACTGTCCACTGTCGAACATTAGTCTCCCCCTTGGGGGTTTTGCCAGTAGTTGCCACGGTTGGCAGGCGGATTAGCAACGCGCAGTTAGGCTAGTTGCCTTTACCTCGCCCTCCCTTTGTCGCCACTTATGACACCCACGGGAAAGGAAGGGGTGGCATATTCTATGCCGGGTACACACGAGACTGCAATAATACACACTACAACACAACACATAGTGTTAATGAAATGGGGTACAACCTGCAAATGGGACAATCCTTTTTCTTCCTTTTCCATGCTGTTATGCAATATTTACAGAAGGTATGTGAGCAATTAAGGGTGATTGCGTTTATGAATAGTTCAGCACAAATGCTACATTGTAATTCACTTTCCATAAGCTGTCCAACTTCAGCTAATGTGCTCTGTTTCGAAGTGCCTTCCTTGAAAGGATCAGGTACACTTTCAATAAGATTTTTATTTTCAGTTTCTACTATTTCTAGCTGCTTTCTCATCTAATAAAGAAAAAAAGCAGGTTAGTTGAATATAATAATACAGTAAATTAGGAAAAATTATAAAAATACAGTTATCTCCAGGTGAAGGTTTTTGGTTGTTTTAGTATCACCATTTCATCTATTTCTATTATGAAGCAAGTGCATGCTTTAATGTAGTTGCTTGAAGAGTAAGATGGCAAATGTAATTACTGACACTAATTTATATATACTTTTGCATACATTAAAATATGTTTACAGAGCAGATTTAATGCTTATACGTATAATTAATACTTCAGCTCACACAAATGCCAACACATGAAGGGTGCTGTGGAATGCAATTAATATTCAGTGATATCTATATTATATTTTATATCTAAAGAAGTTACATTTCATTAGGTGGGCTGCTAGTTACTTTACTCTTACTGCAGCCAAATAATTAACAATCTTGTATGGCATCACTCTCGATTAACTGTATGGAGGAAGTAAATTTAATTCTACTGCTTGAATATTGCTAATAATAACAAAATCAATGTCTTACATAGGTACAATACAGTACATAAGGAAGGATATTTAAAAAAACTTATTTGTTTATTATATGATTTTTCTCAAACATGCTTGGAAATGTGAGCATTATTTTGACAATCTTCTTCGAGATAAAATTGCCGTACTGGCCAGATACATGTAGGCAGCGGCCGGCAAAAGTTGTATGAATATCCATATCTGTTTTGCGGCCTAATAAATTAATATGTAAACTCATCTGTTCTGTAATTTAAAAATGAAATGACCTTTTACTTCGAAATATGGCTACCAAGGAGGTAAACTGGCTTGCAAATAGAAAGCTGTTTATTGAAAAAAAAAAAAAAACAAAGGAACATTATGGTATGTGAAAAATTATTATTGTTCGTTATTATATTGAACTTGAAAAGTAAAACTGTGTTTTTAATTTCCGCGCATTGTTTGAGAAAAGTACTATACAAACTTTGGCCACAACTAGGCTTTGATGGACTCACGTATGTGTGCCTCGGCTTACATTTGCACGATCGTTCATCAATGCTTCAGTTGCTGGCCGCTGCAGTAATGAACTATATTTATGACATGAGGACATAATATACAGGGCAAATTTCTATATTATATTCAGTTGCTAATTTGATGACAAAATTATAAGTGATTAACTCACCTTTTCTAGCTGATCTTGTAAAGAACTAATGACTTCACTAGATTGCTCAGCTTGCTTTTGGATTCTTTCGGCAGCTAGTGCTGCTAGCTCCGTTTCTCGTTGTGTAACTCGTGACTACAATTATATATTTAATTTTAAGTTACAAAATAATGTAATAAATACTTACTGTAATCTGTACATATATTTATTTAGATTATTAAAAAGGAATGTCCTATTACCTTGAGTTCTTCAAGAGATTTTTCAGAATTAATTTGTGCCTCAGCAAGTTTTTTTCGTATTTCCTCTCTTTCCTGTATCTACGAGAAATAATAAGCCATTAAAATACAAACCTAAAACACACTATTTTAAAAGATATATATATATATATATATATATATATATATATATATATATTATAATATATATTATGCTCATTTTTATGCTCATAATATACACTCGCGAGCAACCAAATCGACTCAACCCTTGACAATGCATATGTGCGCCACATATGCTTTAATTTTACTAAAACGACAAATGTCAATTATAAAAATGATATGGCATTCGAAAGCTTAAGATGTCAGCTTTAATTTGATATTGATTATATCAAATTAATGCTGACATTATATGATTATTATTGAAATCCATTAATTATTTCTTAAGTGAATGATGTCTAAACGTAAGAGTAGGAAAAATGCAGTCTGTTTTGCATTGATCTTATCAATTTTTTGATATTTTCTTAAGGAATGCCGTCCCACTCCTCTAACAATGCTGCCTTTAGCTCGTCTACGCTTAAAGGGACTAGATTCTTGGCCCGAATCCTTATTCTTTTAAGCTTGTCCCATAAGTGCTCGATGGGATTCATATCCGGGTTGAGCGCAGGGCAGTCCATCGTGCCGTCAAGGGTTGAGTCTTTTTGGTTGCTCCCGAGTGTTTATACATATAATAAAATTGTAACAAGGCGATATCTGTACAAAGGAGATATTTAACAAATTTTGTTAAATATTGGCACTTATTTGGATACAGTTTTTAGAATTGCTTTTTAATGTTTAATTTTTTTTTATACAACTTAGAATGGCAAACAAGCCGACGGCCCACCTGATGGAAAGTGGTAACCGTCGCCTATAGACATGAGCAGTACCATGGACATAATAGAGTATACTGTTTCGCCCATGATACCCCCCATGCGTTGCCATTCCTAAAGACTCAGGTGTTATTCCTCTGTACCCAGCAAATTCACGTCATATCCCACCCTTTAAAACTGAAACACAGCCATGCACACACAGCTGCTTCACGGTTGAAACACGAATGGGACAGAGGTACCTAAGCAATCGACTTTTGTACAAATTAAAATCTGCAATATGTTTTATCTTGATACATCATCTAAAAGCGGTTTATTTTATTAGTTTTCATACATCTATTTCATTTAAAAAATGTATGAATAAGGAGTTGCAGGGGAAAACGAACTATAAACTTACAAGTTGATCCATTTTCACCTTCTCCTCATCGTTTAACTTTTTCATCTGTTCCATTTGTTCATTTAGATACTGTTCAGCGTTTAATTTTTGTTGTTCCGTTTGTTGAACTTTCTCTTCTAGATTTTTTTTTATTTCATCCAGTTCTTGTTTTAATTCTATTTCTCGTAATTCCTTCTGTTTTTCTAATTCTTTTAATTCCTGCAATATTCAGTGTGATTTAACATATACTTAATTGTGTCAAAAATATACTGCAGTAATATTAACAGTGATACTAACTTATTTAATCTTACTGTTAATTAACAAACATGATAAGGTAAGTATTTATTTACTTATTTGGGACAACAAATAATTTTACAATTATTGATAGATCATATGAAGTACATACAAATATTTTAATTATTATAAAACTAACACTTCTCTACAGATTACTATTGCTATATTGCTCTTAATTTATGTTACTTTAATTTTACTTGTAGCTATTTAAAATATCTATTACGTTTTTTTTTTTCATTTATTATGTATATTACAAATAAAAAAATATCATCAAGTTAGTGAAATGGCGTTCGTCTTGTACGTCAGTGTATAAAATACGTGGCGTACAAGCACAGCAGTGTGGTGGATGCCCGACAGCTCTGAATAGCATAGTTTACTGGTTAATTCAGCATAATCAGAAAAGTTGTTACAAATTTTATACAGCATCATAATATTAAGAAGTGAACATATAGATATTAGCTTAAACCGGAAGTAATAATAAATAAGATAAAAAAAGGAAATCTAAACAAGAGATGTAAATATGAAATAATGCAAATGAAAGCTTGTGGACTAGAATCACACAAGATAAAAAAGAATGGAAAAGGTGACGGGGGTCTTTGAATAAAAAAAGCAGATGACGAGCAACTACTATTAATTAATTAATTGTAATAATCTAATATAATAATTATATAATCTAGTTTTTAAAGGAAAGAATGAAATAATGACTATTTTTGAAACTGAACAACTTTATCTGAAGTATACGTTGAAATATGGGAACAATTTTGTAACTAGTATTTTTCAATAAGAATTGAATCAAATGAAAAAATCAAATCAAAGAATTGGGTCAAATGAGATATATTGGGAATCGGAGGAGAGTTCGCAGAGGAGAAAAAATATGAGAATTTCCGAATAACTATATATAATATTAAATAATAATAAATAATGGTAAAATATTTGGACATAATGGAATTGGCCGTCTAGTAAAATCCCATTTAAAAGAATATACTGAAGAATTGATTGTAATATCAGACAAAACAGGCATATTAAATATTATGTTACCTTCATTTAAAGAGAAATGGTCAGTAATACAAGTGTATGCACCACATGAATTAATTTCAATAGAAGACAAAGATCAATTCTACAGTGACGTTTCACTCTCCATACAAGGAGCTAATAAAAATATTATTGTTATGGGAGATTTTAATAGAACAATTTTTTTCATACAACTCAGAATGGCAAACAAGCTTACGGTCCACCTGATGGAAAGTGGTAACCGTCGCCTATAGACATGAGCAGTACCAAGGACATAACAGAGTATACTCACTCTTCAAATCGAAACACAGCCATGAAAACACAATTGCTTTACGGTTGAAACACGAATGGGACAGAGGTACCCAAGCAAACTACTTTTGTACAAAGTCTATATGTATGCTGTATAATGAAGTTAAGATCAATGTTTAGCATTTAGGAAATAGAAACGATAATAGAAAACATTTAGTTAATTTTGCATTTGAGAATATAACTATAATAACTAGTCTATTTAGAAATATTTTGGAGATGTTGATATAATAAACACATTTAATTTTAATATAGACTACAGACCAGTAAGGAACTATCTGGTATTATGAACCTAAGAAGCCAAGGAGATCTCTAATACACACTAGTTATATAAAAAATCCAGTATAGGAACTACTGATTAGGATTCAGAAGTAACTACTCTACAATAGATCATATCCATACAATCAAACAGGTGGTAGAAAAATATAATGAATAAACAAAACAATTCTATTTGGGATTTTTTGATTATAATAAAGCATTTGATTCATTAAAACATAGTCATCTCTAGTAAGCTCTTGAACAACAATAAATATTTTAGAATAATTAAAGAAATATACCATAGTAGCTAAGTAAAAGTAAAATTGGAGTATGAAGGAATTTCGTTAAAGAAGGAGGTAAGATAGGGTGACCCTATTTCACCTAAATTGTTCTTAGCAATATTAGGTCTATTGAAATCTGAGTTGGGAAGAATATGGATAAAATATCAACAGTAAATAACTCACCTCAGATTTGCTGATAATATCATATTACTAGCGGAGTGTTTCAATATACTATAAATTATATAATATAACCAAATGTCCAAAGAAATGGATAAAAAATTTGATAACTCTTGGAAGCATTATTGGTCCCTCAAAGAGACTATGAAAAATAAAGAAATACCAATTTACACAAAAAAAATAATATTTGTTAATTGCATCCTACCTTGTATATGATATAGATATCAAACACGGTCATTGTCTAAAATGGCATGGAAAGGAGTATGTTATATATCAAAAAACAGGTTTAAATTAGTTTAACTATAAGTGAAAAAATTAAAGTAAAAGATGTCACAGCGTGTACAAGACAGAAAAAATGGTGTTGGAATGGACATATGATGAGGGATCAAAACGAGAATTTGACTGAAGAAGTGACCGAATAGTATCCACATAGTGGTATATAAAACAGAGGGAGACAAAAACGATTTGGGAAGATAACCTGAAGTGGCAGGATCAAAGTGGCATTATACCACACTTGATAGAGAGAAGTAGAAATCATTGGAGGAGACCCTGTGTCACAAGACAAACTTGTAGAAGATAATATGATAATAAAAGCATGAATAGTTGAATTTTATATAATAACACTGGTCAACACTAGTCAGGCCACAGGAACTCTAATAGCTAATACTGTTTTAGCCACCAACTCTGATTAATAAATTGTAGTAGTTTTGTTTCGATTGGCCCCAGATTTTTTGTGATGTGTTGATAAGCATAATCTGTACTAGGGCAATAAACACAAGTAAACAGTCGGGAATAAATAAGACATAAAATTAATTATTTTTGTATTGATTCAGAATTAGTGCATTATAAGTAATTGTTGACATTGTATAAACATGTCGAGAAAGTGTAATAACGATCCTGATTCATTCTTTTATAATTTTCTTTTATATTTTAATTCTTTTATATTTGTGGTAAATTAACTTTCAAAAAGCAAAGACCAAATTTTACCATACTTGTGTTGGAGAGTTATCACTAGTGTTTTGGTTTCTCTGTGGCTTATCAAGACAAACCTTAGGCATAACTTGTGTTAAGAATTTAACTGATTAGAGGAAACGCCGCCGCTATATGCCGCCTGCAGTACTCATGATACAGAACCAAGAGATCACGTTTTGGATTGCTATTTCTGTCCTATAGACATAGAAGGTAGTAATTTTAAGAAAAACACAAGGCTGTTATTTGAAAAAATCAAATATATAGTAGGGATTTCAAAATTGTTGCCCTATTACTTGGACTTCAGCTGCGCTCTACCAAATTAAAAGAAAAATTTCATAGAATAATGTGAAATAGATGCGATGTGAATAGATGCGAAGTTAAAAGAGGTTAGTTTCATTGGACCTCAAATCAGGAAGTTAATAAAAGATCCAGTGTTTGAAGAAAAAATAAATGACCTGGAAAAACGAGCATGAATATCTTTTATTAAAGTTGTTTTAAATTTTCTAGGTAACCATAAGAGTAACAACTACAAAGAGTTTGTTAGCAAGCTGTTATCGGCTTATCAAGCATTAGGTTGCTACATGTCATTTAAGAATAATACTTTAGGCTCACATTTAGATATTTTTACTGAGATTTTACATGCTGTTGCTATAAATGGAACCCAAGGATGTTGGTCAATTACTGCTGGAGATTAAAAGGGATTAACCAGAAGCTAAATATGTCAGAAAATCTTAAATTGGAATTTCATAATAGAATGTCTTTGCTTTTTTGTATCAGATATTCACAATTAAAAAAAAAAAATAATTAATCACATCAATAAATAAAATTCTTGGCCAATAATTTTATTTATTGATTTATATATTTTCACTAATAGTCACCCATAAAGTAAAAAATATAAGTGAAGTGTGTGTGGCACAACAAACTTCAAATTTTATTGCCCAGTGTAATTTACTGTGCATGAACCAAATGTTGTTACAAAATTTATCCATTTGTTGTGAATATATTATTTATAAGAAGTTGTATTATCAGTAATTAAAGGCTATTAAATAAATAAAATACCTTCTCCTTCGCTAACCTAAGTTGTTCTGTTTCTGTTCGTAGCATTTCTTCCAATTCCTGTTTTTCTTTTAACCGCACTTCTTCTTGTTCTTTCATTTTTGCTGTTAATTTCTTCAACATCTCTTCTTTTGATGTGTTCTTTCGATTTAATTCTGAAAGGAATTCCTCACGTTCTTTTAATAATTTTTCTTTAAGAGAATTGTTTTCTTTTATCATTTCAGACTCTGCCTCATTATGTTTCTTGATTTGATCCTACAAATGGTAATGTAAATTCAATTATAAATATAATAAAATACTTATTATTTTAGTTGGTACTTATTTCAATTATAGGCCACTAGTTTTTAACAGTAACTTCATTAGTATGACTGGGATATTTTATCATAATTATATTGATATAAATAGCAGCCTATATAATTCTTCATCACATATATGTATATCAATTTTGATATACATATTTGTGATGAAAAATTGAATTTATTGTTACTAAGTGTTAAGGCACTAAGTAACAATAAGTTCAAACATATGTTATAATAAGGAATAAACATATTTATTCAATTTATACAATTAAAATGTTAAGTTTCTATACCATCAACTCTAATATTTTCATTTCCATTTCTTCTTTTACCATTGCAAGTTGAGCATCTCTTTCAGCAATTCGTAGTGCTTTCTGTTGCTCTACTTCACTCTTTTCTCCTTTTAAATTTTCTATTTGTAATGCATATTGAGATTCGAGATGTTTTATTTTTCTGTCCATATTAATTTGTAATTGTTGTTTTAATATCATTGTTGCTGTTTGCATTTGTTTTCTGTTTTGAATTTTGTCTTCTAAATGTTTTATTTCACAACTTTGTGATTCTTCAAATTTAATTTTTACATCATTTATAAAATTATTGGTCTCATCATCAACTTCAAGTTTTATGCGTTTTCTTGGTATTATATTAGTATCAGATTCAAAAATAAACCTATATTTAAATTCTTCTGAAGGCTCTAGTATGATAACATCTTCATTTGAGAGTTTTTTTATGTTTCCTTTTCCCAATTTTTGCCCATTAATTAATAATCCAAAGGTACTGTTATCTTCAATTATCCATTCACTGTTACCTATTTTCCGAAAAGTACAATGATTTCTAGAGATTGCTAAAAATGGTATTACAACTGAATTTTGAAGTCCTCGTCCAAGTGTAAACTGCAAGTATAAATATGTAAACAATTTTAATAGCTTGTTCTGAGAAATAACGTGTAAATAACTTGATAGATGTGAATTGAACTTACCTCTGAAGAAGTTAGTGATATTTCTTGGAAATTATTAAACTCTGATTTTAGAGGTTTACAAGCTATCAATAGAGGAACATTTTTATCCATGTTGTAGTAAATTTTTCTTATAAAAGTAAAAAAAAGTGATTTCGTTATATTCCATATTCGAATCATACATTGATAAAATATTCATAGACAATTTAGAAATATTACAGATGTAGAGGACAGAGTACAGCAAAACGAATGGACCCATAGATTAAGAATAGTATCAAAGATAAGAGAATTTTGAAAATTAGGTAAAAAATTATTTGATGAAACTGGAGTTAAAAATTTGTGTAAGTAATTTCAGGGTTGTATGGGTAATTGTCATGAAATCCCGAAATTCGATCATTAAAAATTGATCAATAAAATTGATAAAAATTTGTATTTATTTTCTATGGATTTCGTAGTACCTATTTATATTTTATTTTTACTTTTAAATTAATATCCAGGATATTAATTTCCAGGTTTGCTACATAATATATATCGGCGTAAGCGTTATTATCTGTAGCTGTGAACGAGGAAACATTAACTTGGTATTACCTTCATAAAATATTTTCATAAACGCAAATGATTTAGAAAAGTTATTGAAATTAGAGCTCGGGACATACCCTCACTATGATTGATAATTTTTAGAGATATTATAAAGAAGTTGTTTTTTTTTTATTTACACATATAGTTCCAAAATAATAAGTCAATCTTTTATCCACAGTAATACAGATTTCAAGGAAATATTAGTAACCGTTATGTTTATTAGATATTTGATATAATTTGAAGGACAAGAATTTGAAGAAGACATTTCTTCGTTCGAGAACTTGTGACAAAAGGCGATCTCATATGTAATTAAAAAAATTATCAATAAGTGGCAGCCTGCAGATATATTTACCAAAGTTTTACCAAGGTCAAGATTAGTAAGCTTCTAGGATTAAACATCGATCGAAGATGTTTAGAACCTGTTTGGTTCACTAGCAGGCGATATGCGTCCCAGCAGCGTCAGTCAATGTAAACAAAAAAATAATAATACCACAATTATTAACTAAATGATAGCTCTTTATTTTTCATAATAACACCAAACTATAACTATCAGTAATACCAAAAACCTTACTGTTTCTTTTAAATATCCCCTTTTATTTCCTGTTTGTAAGTGGCATAATGGACAACACATTAGCCTTATGTCAATATTAAAAAAGTAAACATTAATTTATAAGAGTTGGCAGTAACTTTATACCCACGGAACCTGGAAATTGAATTACATGTTACCTTTTCGAAGTAACAACACAATGAAAATTACAAAAAAGAAAAATAAATTAATACCCATAGTGTTGTATCATTATCTATGTATGCTCCGTCCAAAACATAAAAAAATCTAGCTATTGCATTACATAAAACTATCAAATTTCACGAAAAACAAGGACGATAAAATAGTACCAAAATTAATCACATTATTTTATTTTACCTCAATTTCAAATCTAATTTTTTTGACAGATAAGTATTGCTTATTATTTTTGGCGCATTAAACAATATTGTGTTAAATCAAACAGCATCTGAAAACAACACGTATTAATTTCTAAAGAATATATATTGGCTGTATTCATAAGAGACTTAGCATGTAAGTTATTTTTTAAAAGTAGTGGATTTTTGTAAGTTGAAAGAAATAACCTTATTTGTACGGGGGGAGAAGGTATTGTTAGTAATATTAGGAATATACCCAATTAAGTCGATTTCTACGCGGTTTCCTCTGGAAACCGTCGTTTCGGTAGGCCAACTGATCTTTTTCACCATCATCTATCATCTCTCACTGGTACCCTACCTGTGTATACCGATAGCGCAGGACGGGGTAAACATTTCATATCATCCATTAAAAAAATCCTATTTGTACTTAAAAAATTACGATTATGTATCACTAAAATGATTTTTATTTTAAAAGGTGATATTTTTACGGGATACCGCATACTACCAATGTAATTAATTAATTATTTATAAATAATTTTAGGTACTATATATTTTTGTAATATATCTTTACTTATAATTAAATTTTAGTTCATATCGATAAATATACTCGAGAGCAATGAATCCGGGTCACTTACCATAAAAACCTATAAATCTCGGAAAATAAGAATATAGCTAGCTTAATGAAATAAATTGTGTTTAGAAGACAATTAAATACTCCTTAAATTAAGGTATGAAAACTTCTTAGTTATTGCAAGGTTATGTCGTAAAAAATCCAATTTGAAAAAGGGAGACTTTCGAAGATGGAACTTCGAAATTACTGCATTTGATTTTACCTTTGTTTCTCATCTGTCATTTAAGTGGGTATATAAAACATATTGATAGTGTTCAATATTTATTATTCAATCTGTAGTCATGTCGCTTACAACTGAAGAATGCACCAGAATCCTCACAATGCTGGAAACCGACCGGAGTCAGCGCGATACAGCCAGGACTGTCGGTGTGTCGCTGTCAACAGTATAAAGAGTTCTTCGACGTTACGAGGAAACTGGCTCTAACCTACGTAGACAAGGAACGGGCAGAACTAGGTGTACCACAGTACGAGAAGATCGATACTTGTCGAACACCATGCTTCGTAATCGCTTTCTCACAGGAATTGAACTTACAAATCGGTTTCGACACCTCAGAGGAAGTAAACCAAGCGTATGGACAGTAAGACGACGACTTGCTGAAGCTAACTTGAAACCACCTAGACCTGCAAATGGCTCTAAACCGGAGCGTGGTGATCGTATTGCAAAACTAAAATATGCCCAGAACCATTTAAATTGGACTATTGAAGATTGGTTGAAAGTTATGTTTTCCGACGAATTAAATTTATGGTCTACAAGCACGATGGAAGACAGAGTGTATAGAAGATTAGGGGAAAGATTCAAGCAAGCATGCATAAAAGAAAAAGTAGCCTACGGTGGTGGGTTTGTACTTGTGTGGGCCAAAATTACATCTGAGAGTCGCACAGAACTGGCGTTCATAGGAAACCGCTCTTTAACCAGCGTAAGATATGTGTAAGAAATGCTTAATGAACACGTTGGGCCATTTATGGTCAATTTTGGGTGAGTATGCTATTTTTATGCATGACAATGCCCGACCTCATACAGTGAGCTCAAAATTGCTTTCATAGAGGAATGGGAGAATATTTGCCAAAATCGTATAATAAATTTGGTGTACAGCATGTCAAACTGCATAAACGTAGTAATAGAAGCACGAGGAGGCAATACAAAGTATTAAAATTCAAGAAAATCATATTGTTGTACAAAAATGTCATGTTCCCTATTTTTGTTTTGAGGCGAGATCAGCAGTTTTTTTCATTATGTAATTTTTAATAAATAAAATGTAGTGAATTATAAATTTTATTACTTTCATTTAAGGGGTATTATATTGTATTAAACACCGTTTATTTTATTAAGCTAGCATTCTTAGTTTCTAAGATTTATAAGTTTCTTTATACGCATTCATTGCTCTCGAGTATAGTATGACTCGTGGTAAGAATAACACTAATTAATTTCAGTTAATTTTACAAGTTTATCAAAATTTGTAATATAGAATAGCATAAAAATTGGTTCCATTACTATATGAACGAATAAATATATTAATTAGATTTAAATATTTAAAAAATATATATATATAAGTAGAGCGCTGTTTTTTTAATGACACCATAATTTTGGCCAAAGGTTTTGGAATACATAATTCACATAGTGTGTTGCTCGTTGTATTTATGACATTGCCAATGCGTTAGTGAGGGATAGACATATAAATAGGCAACTACCTTTTGACTAGTCCGTAGGAGTCATATTTATCAATATAAAAAACTAAACTTTCTAAAGGAAAATATTCATTTTTATAAGAAATGCTGCTAGAAGTCTCGAATTCCACAGAACGAAGAGGCAACGAGAGTGAAAGCATATTTCGAGGCGGATAAAACGAATAGATAGAGGTCTTTAATATAAACGAAGCAGACTTTAGTACTCTCGAAAAATGCAAGCGTAGCGGGTGGGTACACACTGAATTTTTAACGCGCAGGCAGGGTTCGTGTTTGTTCGTGTTCGTGTGTGATGGTTTACGAAGGCAGGAATTTTACCTCAGACATGGCATCATTCTCTTCAATTCTTAGTTTTATAACCGCAATCCTTTAATTTTACCTATTCGATATTTCTTTCATCTATTTACGAATTAATTTCATAGGTATCTGACTACATAAAAGAGCGGTGATAGGTTAGTCAGCTAATGTTTGACTACGGTTTGGGGATCGCAAGATCTAATTAAATAAAATCTAAATCATCATTATCATCTCAGCTATTATACGTCCACTATTGAACATAGACTGCCAGGGGAGAAGGGATTGTTAGTAATCTCCCATTACTAACAATATACCCTAACAGTTCGACATCCCTGTGGTCCCCCCTGGAAACCATAGTGCTGAATTCCAAGTGTATTCATCATTATCATTTTTTATCATTTTAGCCATTATCCGTCCAATGCTGGACATAAGCCTCCCCCATAGACTGCCATAAAGAACGGTTCTGAGCCACCTGCATCTAGTGACTCCCTGCAACGCACTTCAGGTTTCACTCATTTCAATCACTCCATCAAGCGGGGGGTCGTCCTACACTGCGTTTACCCGTACGTGGTCGCCATTCAAGAACTTTTCTTCCCCATTGGTTGTCGGTTCTTTGAGCTATATGACCAGCCCATTGCCACTTCAGCTTGCTTATTCTTCTGTCTATGTCAGTTATTTTGGTTCTTTTGCGCATATCCTTGTTTCGGATTTTATCAGGCAAAAAGACTCCGAACAAAGACCTCTTCATAGCCCGCTGAGTAACTTGTAGCTTTTGCATACCAGCAATCGCATAAGACGACTACGTTTCGGTTGCGTAAATCATCACTGGCAACATGTACTGGTTAAATACTTTCGTCTTCAAATTCTGAGGTATTTTGGACGAAAAGATGTGGCTTAGTATCCCATACTGCCTAGCCCAGTTAGATTCGTCGGTTGACCTCTCGGTCGAAGTTGGACTTACCCATTCGGACAATTTGTCCTAGGTATAAATACTGATCGACAACTTCGAGCGTAGTGTTCTCAATCGTAACCGGTATAGGCGTGACATGGACGTTAGACATGATCTTAGTCTTGTCCATGTTCATCTTAAGACCTACCTGTTGAAAAATACAATTGAGGTCATTGAGCATAGTATTCAGATCCTCCAGGGATTCCGCCATAATAACTATGTCATCGGCAAATCGAAGGTGAGTGATGTATTCGCCATTGATGTTTATACCATATACTTTGCAGTTTAAGAGTTTAAAAACATCTTCTAATGCAGCTGTGAAGAGTTTCGGGGATATGACGTCACCCTGTCTTACACCTTTCTGCACTGAGATGGGTTTCGTACTCTGGTTCTGTACTCTGATAGACATCGTAGCCTTACTGTACATACACTTCAATACAAGTGTATTTATCACGCTGGACTAATTGACCCGCCTTTTCATTTTCACGTATCACCCTTCACTGGTGTGAAGGCAGTTCACGGTGTGTGACTGTTAGTGCAGGCAGGGTTACCATTCCATTATCATCCATTAGACTGCCATGATGAGCAGTCTTGAGCCACCTGCATCCTAAAATCTAAATATTTAATCTAAATTTCTGAAATTTCAAATGTGTTCTGTTTGGTTTTTATTTAAATTATAATCTTATATTAAGAAGTAATTTTTTTCTGGAACTACTAAAGGTAGAGTTACATTTGTGCAATATTAGCTGTCGTAATTGTTGTGTTAGAATGGTATCTAATGAAAAAAGTAAATGAGTTGTGTCGTCGGAGGGCGCAGAGAGGAGCGGCTTCACATCGGCCCTCGATATATCAACGTGGACAGGACGAAAATTGGACTGGACCCTTGTTAATGTCCCGTACTTAGGCCCTTCCGCCCTTGTTTCTGATTATTTATTTAAGACCTATTGATACCTAAACCCAACGAAGGGTAAGTAACAACCGCAAAAGCGATGGCAAATGTCTTAGAAATAAGTATATCGAATACCATATCTTTTGTAGGCAAATGATATGTTTACCCGATGTATGCAGTGTAATAGTTAACTGTTTTTTCTTTCTTATGAGTAGACCATTGTAGACATAGTAGACCTTAAATATTTTCTATAATTAACTTGTTAAGGTCTTTAACTATATTTTTGTAAAAGTTACAAATAAGTAGGTAGTTATAACAAAAATACACATTTTTGCGTTTAAATTTTTTTTTGTATTAATTGTAGTTTGATAAATTGATTTCAAAAGTTTAAAAATATAAGTTAAAATATATAGTGTGCCTAAGTATGTGTTTTTTGTTGTGGTGTCGGTTTTTTTGTGAAAAATATCTAATGCTTAGATTTGTATAAATACGAGTATAAGTAAGTATTAATAAAGTTTTAAAGGGTCGATAAGAGATTGAAAGGTGCTTTAAAATTGAAAGCTTGCAGTCGCGAGCGTGAAGTCAATTATTTAGGATACGACATTCGCTGAAGCGCTCACAGTCAACCGATAATAATAGATAAGGTTCTCAGAACAAGGGTTTTGCTTGACAAAGGTCATGTGTGACCTTTTTCACTCGATAGAAATATTACAAATATAAAGTGAAATAAATAGTAGCTCTAAGCTGTAATCACCAACTATAAAGCGTTTTACATTTAATTGCATAAAGGGAAGATTGTAGGAATAATAATTTAAATATATTGCGTAAATATAATGAATATATAAGCAATTGTTTATTATTGTTTATAACTTAACTAAATGTAAGTCTTTGAGCTCCCGATATGTTAACGGTGCTATAAGCGTCATTCGATTCGTTATCGTAATATTTACTACAGTTGTTGTAAAACTATTTATATTTTCTTCATTGAATTGTGCCGATTTTAAATGTAGCCATTATAAATGTAATCAATGTAATTAATTATAATTTTGTAAATTTTGATGACTTTATTTTACTGTTTTGTTCTTGATGATTAAGAGCGGTGTCCAGTGGGTTATTGTTATACAGTCCAATACTAACACCAAGTAATTAGGTTGTTCGTTTCTCAGAAAGTTGAGTATCCAGCACAGTGCTCTGGTAGAGAATATCAGCAGTTTACATTTAAGTAAAATGAAAAACTCTTCTTTCGATGCCGTCGATATGAACCAATCTTTACACAATCCAACTAAAAAGATAATTACCTAGCCTGCCAAATGCATTTTGTTTTTTTCTATTTTTATAAGTTAATTTTTTTTCTGATTTTCACCCGTAGGCAGAGACAAATCCTTATAGATTAAGATAGATTAAGTAGGCGTAGGTTGGTATTTATTTGCCTGTAAATCTATGTGGGTTACTTGTTGATTCCTAAGGTTGATTCATGTAAATGGAAAATCTATCCACACTGAGTAAGTAATCATTATGTTAGACTAAATGAAAAATTACAGTGAAGTTATAGGGTCCGAAGGCATAACACCATCATCCTTAGGATTGACCCAACGCAGGTAATATGAGCATCACAGCGCATTCTGTGATATCTTTGGTGCTGTTCATGCTTACAGGCAACGTTTATGACTTTCCTTTAGGTGTACCGTTAGTTTTTTTGACATTTTAAGTATCATAAAAAAAGTATGAAGATTACTTAGTATTAATATGGAGAGACGATATGCATGTTAACGATGTACATAGATAAAAAGTACAGAGAGGATAGAGGGAGGGGTTATATTATCGTTTGTTTTAACTGACTGAAAATGATTAAATCCAGAAAGTTGAAATTTGGAGCACAACTATATTTAACAAAATTATTTATATAACAGTATCCGCTAAGACAGGATTTCAGAAAGTTTCATCTTTAAAGTAACACGACATCGTGCGTTACGGGCAGTTACTAGTTAACAATATACTTTGTTAGAGCAATCGCCATATGGTTCTTCTAGAAACCATTAAGGTTATTTCTTATAAAATTTATCACGATGGGCCAATTGTGTTACGAGTTTCATCCTTCATCTATTCTATTACAGTCAAGAAGTACACTCGGGATATAATTACATTTTCATTGAATTAAAAAAAAAAAGCTAATAACGAATGATGAACCATTAAATAAATGGAAATAAATATTTATTTGTCTCATCAACTTCAATAACTATTGTATATTAGGGTGATTATATTCCTTTTGTCACTTATATAATATTTTTTTCGTATATGCATAACTACACTTTAATTTTGTTATACGGAGACCGGAGAAAGAAATTGTATTATTAATTACTTGCTACAGTTTGCTTGGTTACTTTACTTAGCATCTATAAACTTTATGACAAAGCGTATTAAGAGCAAAGCTTCGTAACAGTCGTTGATTAAATTTAGTAATATCGATGGAAAATCAGCTTCCTTCCTAGATATACTCTAACTCCCGATTAAAGCTTTTATCGGAGGACTGATTAAGTGTCGAGGCCACGATGGATTTATTGTAAAAGTTGGCCGTTCACTGAGGTTAGTGATTCAAGCCTGCACACTTTAGTCGAATAATTGTCTACGTGATCGGAATAGAGGTTCCCTAGTGGCTTTAATAAGATCAGATAAAGAGCTCGCACAGGTGCAGGTGTGTGCGTCGATCTATTCACTTGCCAATGAGTTCACACTTCCCTAGACTGCAAAATCTGCTTCTAAGACAGTCAATGACTGTATGTTTTTATGAAGTATAATAAAAACATTGGCGAAAGAACTTATACAGCTAAATGTGGTAGAGATTATTTTTCATATTCCCTGATTTTCTAGGATTGTAACCTGAAGAAGGTAAAAGTCCTTAAGAGTAAAAAAAAAAACAAAGAAAAGAGGACTATATTATTTGTAGCGTAAGTACCTACTATATGAACTAAAATATATTACGCATGTCGGTTAGTTGTTTGAATTTGGATACACAAGTACGCTATGATATTTATTGCAATTCCCAATTGTTGCCTTTCCGTTCATGAAGTCGAATGTTATGTCTATATATCCAGTAATTTCAATCTGAAACATAATTAAAATTAATTTAATTAATCGTAGGCTAAAAAATAACGACAAAGAAGTATATATCTATGGACACAATTTGGTATAAAGCCGTATTTTTTATTATTAAATACTTAATATTATATAATTATTAATTACTAAGAGACATATCAACACACAATAGCTCTATACAGCTGCTAACACCAGTATGGAAACGTGTTCCATTGTCGAATAAAAATATCGGTAGGCAAGGAAAATTGATTGGCTGGCCAAGGCTTACTTTCTTCTTAAGCTATTTCTCGTAGTTAATTTCAGTTAACTAAGATCGTTTGTTTTTCCTTCTTGATTTTATTTACTTGGAGAGATCAGGCTACGAGTACTGAAAAAAAAGTAAATTTATTTAATATTATATAAAACAGTGAATAAACAAAAACTCAATTTTATAGAGAAAGATAAAAGGAAAAACAACTTAGTATTCTTTGGAATTAAGGAACATGAGAGAAGCGAAGCTGAATTAGTGGATTATATAAAAGAAATAATAATGGATATGGGAGTACACTTAGATAGTCATGAAATAGCAAGTGTGTATAAAATTGGATCTTCATCAAACAAAAGCCGACCAATAGTGGTGTCCTTTTCGTCGACATGGAAAAAGCACCTTGTACAACAAAATAAATCTAACCTTCCACATGGCATCTACTTTAAAGAAGACTATCCCAAAGAGGTACTAGATATACGTAGAAAACTACAACCGAAATTAGAGGAGGAAAGAAAGAAAGGAAATATAGCTTATTTGAAATATGATCAATTAGTAGTAAAGAAACCAAAAGAAAGCAATCGCGAAAAGCGTAAAAGAGAAAACACTGATTCACCAACTACTAAAAATCACAGTAAAAAACTGTTGGCTAACAGCAGTCCAAATTCATCTTATATTTCACCTGTTTTGCCTATAGATTTAATGAAAGACAAACCAAAACCAAACATACTTAATTATGTGGCACGTGGAAGATCATCATCCATGTCGGAACTAGCAAAAAACTAATAACTACCTCTAGCAAACGGAATCAAAACAAAACAAATTTACTAAAACCATCAAATGTAACACTAACAGAATACACCCCAAGCCGGCTGGTCACCGTGGGGGAAGACGACCATTACCCTTCATCAAATAAAATAACAAATACCAAAAACAAAAATGTAAGTAGCAATAAAATTAACTTAAGCAATACAAAAGAAAAAACAAAATTAAAAATAGATCAATACCTAAAAATATGCACATACAATGTAAGATCACTCGCAACTAAAGAAAGAATGATAGAACTAAACCAAGCAATAGAAAAAATTAATTGGGACATTATGGGACTTGTAGAAACAAAAAAAATGGGAAGCGCTATAGAAGAACATGACAAATATATACTCTGTTACATAGGCGAAACAGTGGGCTTACATGGAGTGGGTTTCATTATTAAGAAGTCATTAAAGAACAATATTTCAAGTTTTGTGGGAATATCGGAAAGAGTCGCATTACTAAGAATGAATCTGAGGGATGGACCAATATCGATTATACAAGTTTATTCCCCAACTGTGAGCTCAAGTGAAGAGGAACTAACAAAATTCTATAACGACTTAACAAAAGCACAAAACTTAGCTGACAAAAACGTGCTTGTCATTGGAGATTTCAATGGAAAAATTGGACACCCGAAACCACATGAAAACATCATAATGGGAAAATTTGGATATGGAACACGGAATGAAAGAGGTGAACGTCTGATACAATATGCTTACGAGAATAAGTTGTCGATCATGAATACATTTTTTAAGAAAAAAGAATCTAGAAAATGGACATGGATATCACCAGACCATAAAACAAAAAATGAAATCGACTTCATTCTGAGCTCTAATCCAAATTCTGTAAGTAATATAGAGGTGTTAAACAAAACAAGCTTTCCGTCTGATCATAGATTAGTGAGATGCACTCTTAAAACCAAAAAGTCAAAAATAAGTAGAAGAGCTTTTAACACTTCACCAAATCAACTGAACTCCACTGAGAAAAGAAACAGCTATATACGAAATCTGAAAAAGAATCTAGCACAATCACATGACTCACTGATTAATTTAGAAGATGTACAGGCCTTGAGCAACAAACTGGAAGAAATAATATTAGAAAGTTTAAGATTTGATAAGAAAAGAAAAGCTGGCCAACATAAAATACTAAGCAGTGAAACACTGAGTCTAATCTCTAGAAGAACTGAACTAGTGGCAGAGAAGCACAAAACCAAAGAAACTAGAGAAAAAATAAAGAAGTTATTTAAGGAAACTAATAGAGCAATTAGGAAAGACCATGATAATTACAGAAGAGCAGTTATTGAAAGAAACATGACAAAGTTCCGAAGTTCAAAAAGAGCCTTCAAAGAACTTACAACACATAAAAAATGGATACAATCTCTAAATAATGGTAAAGGCGAAATCAGGGAAAGAGATGACATAGTCAGAAGTGCAACAGCATTCTACACCGACATGTATAAAAAACCTTTAGAAAAAGAAACATATAAAGATGAAGACATTGTGTGTAAGGAAAGCAATTCAGAAGCAGCACCGAACCAGATTACAGAGTACGAGGTCATAAAACTTATTAAAAAATTAAAACCTGAAAAAAGCCCAGGTTCAGACAACATTACGAATGAAGCCATAAAAATCGGAGTGCCTATTTTAATCACATATATAGTGAAAATTTTTAACCTAGTTTTGGAGAAGCAAGTGGTACCAAAGCAATGGTGTGAATCTGACATTATACTGCTGTACAAGAAAGGCAACCCGCTTGATATTGGCAACTACAGACCTATCAGCTTACTATCCACAGTTTACAAACTCTTTTCATCCATTATTTTGAGCAGAATAGCAACAGAAATTGACAAATATCAACCAATAGAGCAGGCTGGATTCAGACCACATTACTCTACAATCGATCACATCCACACAATAGAACAGATAATAGAAAAGTACAAAGAATTTAATAAATCACTTTACATAGCATTTGTGGACTACTCCAAGGCCTTCGATAGCATTACACATTCATCCATATGGCATGCTTTGGCTGACAATAACATAAACAGCACCTACATAAATATTATAAAAAATATTTACTCTAAAAGTATAAGCAGAGTCAAACTGGAGAGGCAGGGTGAAAAGTTCACAATTGGAAGAGGCGTAAGACAGGGAGATCCACTTTCTCCAAAACTTTTCATAGCAGTACTTAACAATATCTTTAAAAGTATCGATTGGAGCCATGAGGGTATATGGATACTGAACAAAAGACTAACACACTTATGTTTCGCAGATGATATAGTACTTTTTAGCGAATCGGTTAGCAACCTAGAAAAAATGCTACAAGAACTAGATTTGGAAAGTAAGAAAATTGGCCTAAATATGAATGCAACCAAAACAAAGATCATGACAAACCACAGCAAAAAATTTATCACAATAGAAGAGAACCCTATAGATTATGTGGATAGTTATGTGTACCTAGGTAAAATGGTCTCTTTCGAAACGAACAGTGGAGAAAATGAAGTTGATAGAAGAATAAACATAACATGGAAGAAATATTGGGCTCAAAAAGAAATCCTTAAAGGGAACTACAGTCTCAACTTAAAAAAGATAATTATGGATTCCTGCATCCTTCCAAGCCTAACATATGCATGCCAAACATGGACCTATACAGAAAAAATAAAGAACAAAATCCTATCATGTCAGCATGCGATGGAAAGAAGTATCTTAAAGTTAAGAAAAATACAGAAAATAAGAAACATTGATATTAGGAAGAAAACCAAAATAAAAGATGCTCTTCAGCATAGTATGAAACAGAAGTGGAGATGGGCAGGTCATATAGTGAGGTACAAAGATAAAAGGTGGACTCTCCAAACAACAAAATGGCGAGGTCCAGCAGGAAAAAGAAATGTTGGAAGACAAAGAAAGAGATGGGCAGATGACATAATAAAGATAGCAGGAAAGAACTGGACGGGTATTGCTATAGATAAGGAGAAGTGGAAAAAGATGGAGGAGGCTTTTACCCTTGGGGACCACGGAAGTGGATAAAAAGCTATAATAATAATAATAAAAAAAAACAGTGAATTTTTTAATTAAATACTTTTTATTTGCTTACTATTTCGATATAGAAACAATATACAAAAAGAGCCTTTTTTATTGGTATATTATTTAACATTATTTTTATTTGATATATTTAATCACTAAATCTAATCGGATATTAGTCCCGCGGTCTATGCAGAATCGACTTTAGGATATATTCTTTATTGTACTTGTAAATTATATTGTTAATGCATTTATAAATATTATAAGCAAGAAAAGTTTTTATGTAACAGTATTTACGGCCAGATTAGACTATATATATAATTGAATATTGCAATGATCTGTGTATATCTACTTCAGTTTACTTAAGCTCAATGTATTCGGTATGAATAATAATTTCTTCAATATAAACCATCAATTTTAATAGTAATAGTTGATTTGAACCGTTTATTAAGTAAGACATAATGTCAACGTACTAATCTATTCTTAAGGAGATATTGTGAAATTTTAATGGACCAAAAAGGATTTAAAGTTGCCCAAAACTTTTAAATCTTAATTGGTCTTCATCAACGAAATGTATTTAAATGTTGAATAAATAATTGGAAACTAAAAACCAAGTTCTCAATGCTGCAAGTTCGCATCGAAATGTAGCTCCAAGCGTCCTCGGATTCCTCATTGGAGTCCATTTTTGAGTTACAAGTTTTATGGCGAACCTTGTCCGTTGTACATTGTTTCTGAACAAAGCGAGATCTTGTCGAGTTTCCGATATGAACGTGGATCGAGTCCGTTATTCGCTTCCAACTTATCCGTCTTTGTTCCACCAACTATTGATGCTTCATGAAACTTTCTGTATCTGCCTAGTTTTGCAGGTAATCTACCTACTTTTACGATATAAGTCATAGCATATAAATTTTATTCTTGGTAAGAGAAAACTCTTGGATGAATAGAACAATCTTTTTTGTTGCAATGATTAAAATAAAATACTGTTGACACTTTTTATATTGTATTAGATATGGAATTGTAATCTCGTCTGTGCAATCAGTATACGATGGCGGGTTTAGTGGATACAGGGAAAGAACATGTTTTTTTTTCATAATTAGTCCTATTAATTATTACTAAATTATTCGAATATAAATATTAGCTTAGTAATATAGCTAATATTTATATTTATTTAATAGTCGAATTATAAAATAAGTAATATTATTTGAATAACGAAATCATTCTTTTTTTTGCTCGGACGCTCGACGAGAACAGACGTGAATTTGTGTATCGTTTCTTTAATTTGCTGAAATAAATTTAAATTATTGTTTACAATTACTGGTGGAACTTTATACATCTATTATAAACCAGTTGTACATCTATTACATTCTAATATATTTATTTTTGGAGGTTACATAAGTTAATGTATCGTGAAGAACTGGTGTCTGAAGTAGGATAAACCTGTGTTACAGATCACCAGGTGCTCACCCCACGGTGTTGGCACTTTTTACAATTTGCTCTGGTTAGGAATATAATAACAACATTAATATATATACTTAAGGTTATACAATCGATATATCCTACACACACTTACACAATGTACATTATTTTAATAATATTTTCATAAGTTGTAATATAAATAAATAAATTTAATCCGTAACCTTCAGTAAGTTTTCCATGTCATCGTACGTCATACTCAATAACCATGTTTTAAGTGCAGTTTTACAATTGAAGTACGAGTATGAATATAAGTTCAAAATACGGTTTATATTGTTATAAAGATGGCTTTAAAAGAAACAATGCCTAAAGTACAGAAAACTCCTCTACCTGATATACCTGTTCACGGATGCTCTTCCGAATCTGATGCATTAGCTACAGACGGAAAAAATATTGAAATTGTTTCTAAGCGACAAAAAAGAAGAAGAGATCCTCCAGGAATGTCTGAAGAAATAGGAAATCTCAAAAGTGACATAATGGCTATGCTGAACAAGTGGAGAGAAGACCAAGATGACACATTAAAAAAAATGCAATCTACAATAGTGGAAGTCAAAAAAGATATATCTAAAACGAAAAGTACACATGAAGAATTATTAAAATCAATTGAATTTATGGTACATCAATACGATGAGATGCACCATAAAATTGTATTGTTAAAACAAGAGCGTAAGGAACAAACGGAATATATACAGTTACTAGAGTCTAAATTTGAAGATTTGCAAAAAAATCAAAAGTCTTCTCAAATAGAAATTCGAAACGTTCATTCTACAAAAATAAAAACAAAACAAGATTTAAGGGAATTTGTAGAGAGCTGCTGCAAGGCACTAAAGATTTAAATATGAATATCAGACCAGACAGTACTGATTCAAATTCGACAACTTACCTTGACTTATTAGCATCACATGGTATGTTGGCAAGCCATACTTTTCCAACTCGGGCAAATAATTGTATAGATCATTCTATAATAAAAACGAACAAATCAGTGGTCACCATAGTTTTAGATGCACCACTAACGGATCATTGTGGGGTTATAATTGCATTTATTAAGGAACCAAAAATAAAAGATGAAAACAAAACTTTTAAAAGAGTAGATTATGAGGCCCTTGTAAATGATATAAAAAAATACAGATTATAGCAACATTATGTCTTCAAGTGTTCCGGAATGGTGCTCTGAAGAATTAATAAGTATATTGACTAAATACAGAGTTTCTAATACCAAAAATATTAATCTGCCCAGACGTCAACGTAATATTAAACCATGGATAACTCCGGGTTTAATGCGCTGTATGAGAAAACGTGATAAAATGCACTTACAATGTAAATTAAATCCAAAAAGTGAATCTTTAATGTTAAAATATGTTACATATAAAAATTATTGTAATGATTTAATAAAAAGACTGAAAAGGTTATATGAGAAACAAGAACTTGAAAAAAATACAGGAAACACAGGAATGACATGGACTATAATTAAAAAGATCGCAAATTAAAATAAAAGTAAGACTTTGCCTATAGAATTGCTGGAATGATCTCAATTACAGGAAATATCAATTAATCATATTAACAACTACTTTGCAAATGTTGGTAAAAATTTGGTTAATAAAATTACAAAAAAAGACAACAATGCAGAGTATGAATGTAATAAAACATCAAAT